CGCCCGTCCGCTCGCCCGCCCGCTCTCCCGACAGCTCACCATCCGCCCGCCCACTCGCTCACCACTTGCTCGTTCGCCCTCCTACCCACCACCCACTCGCTCACCCGCCTCCGATCCCAACCTACTACTCCACCGCCGAATCACCCGCCCGCCCAACCGACCGTCTGGCCGCTGTTGAGAGAGCAAAGCAAACCTCGTCGCAGCGATCCTCTGGCTGCCGAAGTGCACCTCTCGATCCTCCACCATGCCATTTAATTCAACTCGCTATTCTCGGTTTTTACCTTACACAACACTAGAGATATCCAAACCAAATGGGGATGAAGACACACTACTGATATGATACTGGTATCTATTCTCTACTTTTGATACAGGATACTTGGTAATCGATATCTAGGTTTCGATACTGTTATCCTTGTATAGATTTATTTCTTATTATAAAAGGAACACCGCTTGGGTTTCATAATCCCATTTTTCTTGCACCGTATTTGCTTTATTCCCCGATATACTGTTCACACACACACACATACACATTTTATATGCTTCATCTGTTTATACGCGCACTTGATCCTTCTCTTACACTCACAATAGACACTACAAGTGCGGATATTTTTTTAAAAATTGATATGTAAATTGAATTACTGAACAATGTAGTATATAACTGTTTTGACTTCTGTTGCCAAGGCAGACACAGATCTTTCATTATGACAACGATCAAGCTCCCTCTATCCATGGGCCAAGATAACTGAATTATTAACTAATTAATAATACATATAATAATAATAATAATAATAAAGTTAAACAACTCCTTCTAACAATTACGAACTACTCAGACTAAATATTACCCTATATTACTTTTACCGTATTAGTAGTATAAATAAATTTCTATATTCTAGATAAACCCATTCAAGGTTAAAAACATTTAGTTCTATTTAAAAACTGAAATACGAGTCTATTTCTCCAAAAATAAAATATCACGAATTGTCGCTTCCCAGCAGTTTACTTACCCCTATTCAGTATTGTCAAATGAATAAAACGCGAAAACTACACTTCAACATCATGAGCCACTTAGAAGTAATAGGTGGGACATCCTGTGTAATAAAATCCGGGGTGGAAACGGAAATAAGATTATTTCCTGGGGGTGAGACGGCAGCTAGTTCAAATTGCGCCCCGGAAAGTCATTCCAATTTTGTCAACGATACGTTTCTTAGAAAAACGAACTGTCTTTCGTAATGAAAATCGTAAAATCACTTGCGACATTGTTTTCCCTAATCAATTTGAATAATCCTCATTTGTTTTTACTAGTATAATTATTTTTTTAAAAAAAGGGTAATTTAAATTTGGAGAGAAACGTTAAAATATTGCATTTTTAAAATACATTAAGAGAGGACGTTATTGAATGGATTGACAATCCTCGAAAAACGTGTCTTGTGTGCAAATACCCCTGCACGAATACTCATCGCGCAACTCCCGAACTCTAGCGGTCGACCGCGAAAACACGTCAGGACGGTGAGCGCAGCGCTCCGAGCGGCCGCCGGGTGTAATACCACAAGGGCATCTGGCACGAATGCACTTTTGTCGTGCAGTGTTTGTTGTGGCACCTTGTTGATGGATTGAACGAGAATTTCGGTGGTCAAGATTTTTACCATAAATCGCAACGCGTATCTCTGATGGGGATGTTGATAGAATTTAGCTAATTTGGGAAGAATGAAAAACGATGGAAAAGTTTTTTGAAGGGAGTGAATGTCTAAATTCGAAAGATGCATTCATTGAAAGAGGCTTTCCTTTCTCCTTTCAGGGTTCAAGCCAGAACGCCTGTTCTGCACTCCATAGTCGCCTTGATCAACCACTGCCAGAGTCCGTAATGTAACCTTCACAGGAATCGATTCGGATCTGTATTTGTATTAAATTTTATGACAAACTTCAGCCACATTCTACGCTTAAGCCAATCCGAAAAATAAATCATATTTATTTTTACACATAGTTTTGTGCTGATTGTTTCTTATATTATTTGACGGCCCCACCAATCCAATTCACGGTTTTACTTCTTCGACCTTACCTCGTAAGAAAAAGTATTGTAATTGTGTGTCGGAAAATTGGGACATTTTGAAAGAATCTCTAAAGCCGGGCCTGGTAACTTAGTGAATAAATTCTGTTCCTAAATAAGATTAATTACTTTGTGGTCAGAATCCATGTTTTGAGAGTCCTTGCTACCCAAAAACTAATTAACGTCAAAGCATCAACGGCACCCGTCAACGCGAGTCGCTAAACCACCATTCAGGCAGTTTACTGCAAAATTGATTATCCCCGATCGATTTAAAGGAACTTGAGGTCCTGTGAGTTTCAAACGGATATTTTAATTTTGCGGAGGTACTCATTAAGTATTTTAACATTTTCAAACTTTTCTCAAAAATGGCGTGAAATTTCTGGATTGAACTATGTTCTCGGATAATGTAAAAAAACGCTTAAATAATGGCGAAGGTCTAATTTTCGTTTAAATCCTTAATTTACCAAAAATTGCTAATTATTTTTCTGATTCTTCTTACAACTACAATATTTAAGATGGATATCCTTTCCTGAATGAAATATGTTCTGTAAAGGCAGATCTTTAAATGACACCGTTTACAATACATGGATAGAATAAGGAACACTGAAAAGAATCGTAAAGTTTAAAACAACGCGAGAAAGTATGAATTGTTTTAACACCCCTCGGTTTAGTAAAAGTATCAATTTAATGGGTGAAAACCAGAACGGTATAAGTGACATCGTATAAATTCTGAGGAAAACTTATGTTCATTTTAGGCAATATTTCAGTGGCAATGTATTTTCGTCGTTTTAAAGAACAATTGAAATGCCTTAGTTTTAATGATGAAACAAAGCACCACACCAATTTTGACTTAAACAGATTTCTCAGAATTTAGAAAAATTCACTTACACCGTTCTGGTTTTTACCCATTCAATTATCTTCCGAGATTTATGCAGTGTGTCAGTTCAAATTAAAAGTTCTGTTTCGTGAGTTGTGAAAGGCATTGTCATTCATAGTCGTGTAAATCCTCTGTGGTGTTCGAGTGACGTCCTGTTGAAGGTAGTGTTGCCGACGTTTCGACCGCTTTTGCCTTGAATGGTTCTCCAGCCCTGAGGAACACTATAACGAAACGGTCGAAAAATCGGCATCACTGGCTTCCACGCAACGACACCTGTACAACAGAGAGCATTGCTCGATTTAATTTTAAATTTCCAGGGCTTCAAATTGTGCCAGATTGTTAGTAAAATATAAATTTGTAGAAAAATACTGAGCGTGGTTTAGGTAGTGTACAATGTTTAGGACAGAGGTTTAGGACTGCGGTTTAAGAAAAAAAGTTAAAACCTAGAATAAAAAAAAATTACTATGAGGTTTCCTGCCGAATTATTCTCTAGATATTAAGTTTTAATACGTTTGTTATTACATTTCAATGTTAAAACTATTGTAATGCATTAACGACTGATTATAGGAAGGTATATAAATTATTATTTTTAAAAAAGTGAAAATATAGTAGTGTTGTGAGGTATTAATAGAACAAATATGAATACAAGTAGGCTGTTACGTTACCTGGCAATCGAACATACTTATAACGGAGGTGTATTAACACTTAGACCTCAGGATGATTCAGCCTACAAATATATAAACCTATTAACACCTTCGTAACGTAGAAATGCCGAGCAAGAAATACTTTTTTTAAAGGCTATGACTAACGTTACTGAACACCATTTAATTGTAATTCATTTATAATTCCACTTACGCTCCATTATTTCGCGATGAAGTAGACACCCTCGGTACGTATGTAAAGCACGATCGCGCCAGAGTTAACAGTCGGGGAAATTACATTTTCATTATGTGCTCCCCAGTTTTTCTTTCGTCCCTCGCGACAACAGGGTGACCGAAAATGAATTTTTGGGTAACTACTTTCTGAAAAGGGCTAAAAAGTTCGTGCTTCGGAAACATTTGTTACGTGCAATTTACGAATATTATGCTATTGTTATTCCATGCACGTTGAGTAACCGCATTAACTCCGTTATCTCCATACGTAATATTCCTTTTACGTGTGCTAGGCTAGAGATGTTCAATCTCCAATAGTATGACCACGAGGGAATGTTTAGTAAGTTTTCAATCGGGTTATATTTAAGTTTGTTGTAAGCTTTTTTCATATACGTATTTTTAGTCGCAACGAAGGTCATTAACTACACCGAGAACAAAGTACTTTGGGTTCTATTTAAAGCAGGGGTTCCCCAAAGGAGTCGGAATTATTCGCGGATGCTTTCTTGAAATTTCCCGATATGCCTACTGTCACTCCTTTATTAACATTAGTTGAATTCTCTATGAAGGATAGCAATAAGTTGTTGATAAAATTTGATTACCACTTGTTCACTTTCCTGTAATATAAACCATTTTGCATCAAAAAGCGAGCTACACATTTGATAGGAGTCCGGTCGAAATATGCAACGTTCACTCCTCTTGAACACAGGAAAATGAGAGCTCAAGAAAACGCGCGGGTAATACAGACTCCCTAGTGGTCGACAATTTTAAAGAGGGTCAGTGATTAGCGATTTGGCGGTCAATAGATAAATATGCACCTGCGAATAAACAGTATAATCAAGATCAAGATTTCATCTTATTCAAAAATATATTCATTAATTGGCTTTTATATAAAGTTTCAATATGTCTATAAAAATTTACGAAATACAAAAACTATCTAGTAAACTTTGCTGCTCGAAATTTATAAGATATGTCCCTCCTTCCCAAGCCATTTTTCAACAAAATTGAATCTTGTGATTTGAATGTTTTCTACATAACCCCATTCACTTTTATATCTTTATGACATGACTATAACTTTTAAAATTGAATAATTCTAGAGTTATAACATGAAGAGGAGGAAAAGTCTCCGTTTGTTGGGCAGTCTCACTAGTATTAGTGGGGGGGGGGACTATGAGACATTTGAAATATTTTATATTTTCCAAGATCTTTACATGCATGTTGTAGTGAACTATAGCTCATAAAACCTGCAGCTCGTCTTAACTTGAAATATAATCCACCATATAAGTATCACTGATTAGGACACGCCTAATTATAATCACTGCGATAATATTGCTAATATTTGTATTTAAAAAACACAGATTTCAAATATAAAATTCTCGCTATCTTCGATTCACTAACTAACCACAATACTTACCCCGCATGGTTTCTGGAATGCCTATCCCCACTCCTTTACTATTACCCGCGCAATTTTACTTGACCGATGGTCTACCTTCCCTCTCCCTAGCACAAATTGTTGAAGGTAAAAGCACGCACAAAGTACTGATGACAACATTCCTAACACACCTTCATTGGCGCGTAATAAAAATATTTGCTGTTGAAGGTGAGAATTCCGGTTTTTCTCCACAAAAAAAATAAATAAAAAAATAAAGAAATGGCTTAAGCAAGTCCAGATAATTCACAGGTATCTCGAACTCTCTGAGAAAATTAAAACGCAAGTTTTTGAGAAAGTTGGGTAGGCATGACTGATTTTCCAGAGATGGCATTCCTTCATAAGATCAAAAGAAAAAAAATTAAAAAAATTAATTCCCAACTCCTCTCGCTTCAAGCAAAATAAGGGCTTAAATACCTGTGCGAATAACACACACCCTTGAGAGAGATGGACCAAGGCCTTGAATTTCTTTTTATTATTTTTAATATTTATTTTCTACCTGTTAAATTGTACAACTAAGCACTTTAATTTTGTTTACAATAATTATATAGGTAACATGTAAGCATGTTATCTTCTAGTAAATAACATTACTTGTAATTTAAAAACTTATTTAAATTATACTATTTATTCAAATAATTTATATGTGTAAATTTGAAAGGAAGTAATTATTTAAATTGAGATTTTTAGAACCAAATTACGCTTAGAACAAATGTCCTCAGACAAGGGTTCATTATATCACTCTCACGATTTTATTTCAATTCAGTGTACACTCTAAAAATCTGTTAATAATAGCAGGGGAATAGGCATCTTAAAACATCCTTTCCATTTGAAGACTAAATCTTGAGTAGAAAGCTTAGAAAGCTTGATCTTTCCAAACGTTCAGTAAGTTATATAATTTTATAAATGTCAGATGATTTAATTAAAGCACAAATCATACGAATATTAAATTCTTTCTTCTATTCGAGCAGAATTTCAACAAAAACAATTCAGCCATTTTGCAAGAAAATTTTGAAAATTTTGTAAAGTACCCTCAAAATTATATCTTAATGATCTCCGTAATGACAACTAGAACTTAACCCTGCGATTTATCAAGCTTCCGCTGAAAAGCTTTTAATGTGACCGTTATACGTAAACAAATTTAGTCAAGAATGTTCACCCCTAATATTTACTAAACAGATATTGGAGGAGAATTTTCACCTAACGGGTCATGTTAAAGGTATCAATCGGTTATTAGTTTCTAATTACATTTTGTCTCTTAAGACATTGAGCTAACTTACTTTTTATAATGAAACACTATTTGTTTTACGCTAAAGATCGTGATGAACAGATTTTACATTAATTCATATTTTGCTATTAGATTAAGGATTATAAACATAAGTTATAAAATCAGAGGTTAGCAGGTTCGCAAGCATGGCTGGATTTCAAAGAACTTAAAAGAGTCTACCGTTCGCCGTTTCAAAACGCCGAGATACAATGTCTAATGCATTTTCTTGCCTCTAAATGACAATCTACACTACGATACACAAATATAAATGGGGCAGTCGACATATCACGGAGTGTCGCGTGCAGACCGTGAATGGATAGAGTAAATCAGAGATTTACGACATCAGGCCGTATCGTTTCAGCGATGCATTGTTGTAGAAACTTACAAACAAGCTGAAACTTTTCTACTAATGCGATAATAGCGTTAATTCAAGTGAAAATTTCATTTTAATAATGGTTTACGTCAAAATTCATGAGTACACAGATGAGGAAATTTAATTTAAAAAATATTGTCAGTGTATGTTACGCGAGTTCTGACAACTTTACTGAATACGTTCCGGCCCAAGAATAGAGAAATTTTCACAGCGAGTACAGAATCTTAAATTGCCGAGAATATAAATCTTATTTAATTACTTCTGCCGAAACCGTTGGAAGTAGAGAATGGGCTCACTTTGCGATGCACTTGCTCCATGATTTTTCTGCACTGCATTTAGCAAGACTCGCTACCAAAGATCATACAAAATATCACCTTTTCAAAATCAATAAGGTTTATCTACCTTATGAAAGATGCTACTAACTAGAACGTAACGTCACCGACTTTCTTGGAAGAAAGGGAACTCTTACCTTGGATGATTGTAACACGAGGCCTTCCCCGGGACAAAGTTCGCCCGATATGGTCGAGGTCGCTGCACTGCTCTACGTTATTGTGACCTCCGTGCAGCACGCGGTGCGGCTACAAACAGGGTTGCACAGTATTTAACTACTTGTATTTGAAATGTGTATTTTAAATCCATTTGCATCTGAAAATGAATGTGTTTTTGGAAATGTATTTAAGAGATGTATTTAAATAAATTAAATAGGTTTATTTAAAAAAGGAAATGAAAACACTTAAATGCAGATTAAGATAATGAGTGCAGTTTCTTTTGATTCTGTTAGTGAATGGACCTCATTGAAACAAAAATAAAATATTTTCAGGTGCAGAATCTGAATTCTTTTCAAATGATAAATCTAAATCATTAAAAAAGGTGGATAATTCGACAATAAAAGTGCTCATTATAATTCTGGTTTATGTTGATCCCTTTTCCTTCGCGGGTTTTATACATTTGCTAACTAGGGGTTTATTATCCCATGTTTTGTTGGAAAAATCATTCCGTTTATTTGAGTTGGACATTTTTTTTATTTTATATTAAAAGTGTTTCTTAAAGTATTTATTAAAAGTATTAGTACACAGTAATAATGAAGTTTTAATACAATCATATTTACTGTATTTTGAGTACTTTCAATATTTCGCAATTCATAACAATGCATTTTGATTATTTAAATGCCGATTTAAAAAGTAGTTTGGCGAAGTATTTAAATACTAAATTTGAAGCATTGTGCCCAACCTTCGCTACAAACTTCCGAGTACCGGCAATTCGTGTGACGTCTTATTTCATTATCTTTTGTGCTGGCAATTAGTAAATGCCACCGTATGTGTTATTGTTGATTTGTCTTCAAGATCTATCTATTCGTTTTAAAAAGAGTCGCCGCTTTGAAAAATTAAGTTATTTTTTTTAATAGAATTACTATCAAAAGTTAACTGATGAGCCCTGTTCTAAATAGTCTGGGGAACATTCTATTTCGATATATTTAACCCTTTACAGAATCTTCGAGATGAGAGTCTTAACTGTAGTTATATACACAGAGGGCTCTAGCAAATCCTCAAATGGCCCCTTGTTTTGCTTCTGGACATAAATGTACTTCCGATTAACTTCTCCCCATAGCACGACACTGACTAAAAATTGTCATACGTTCAGGTTCTTTAAAAGATATACATTCTGCAAGACCTATCGTGTAGACTCACCAATGTTTACATAAACAGCAGCTGCTTCTCAGGCGTTAGTACCTTCTGCTTGAATGCATCCAGGTATTTTCATTATCTTGAATCTTATCACTACCAGTTCCAACATCCCTCTGCTCAGACACCAGAGTCTACAAACGTATAAACAATTCACACTAAACACAGGATTATAAAATGTTATGTAGACATAGAAACTAAATGCATAAAATCATCAGTAGCAACATTATTACTCACTGCAATGATCGAAGTATGCCGTCTTCCAAGTGACCTTGCGGTTCGGCAAAACACTCGTTAGGAGTATGTTTAATGAGCCCTCCTTCCCCAGTAGGCCTATGGCTCTTCAGTACAAAAAAAATTAAAATCTGATAGAAAAAATGTGAACAAGTTGACAAAACAATATCAACCCGTATAATACACACGAGCCAACTTTACTCTGCCGTGGTAGTTTTCTACAATTACGATACTTTAGTTAATCTGATAATTATTTCACCGGTTTATCTAATCTTCAATGTATGATCATTGATTGTTGTAATTTTGAAATTGATCTTAATGGTCTGTGTTTAGATATTGCGGTTTTTGATTGTAGGTGAAAGTGGTAGAAATTTGGACTCCATGGCAGCGTTTACGCTACTGTTTTATGTACTATTTCTCCCGTTTGTTAACGTTTTGTACTGAACAGATAAATTCGTTAAACAATCGCATGCAGAACTCCCAAGGCCTTCATTAAAAAAAATTTCTCCTAGTAGAGACTTCATTCACACCATGAACAGGTAAATGCGTAAATGGTTTGGTATATCATACAAGCCGGAAATACTCTTAAAAGTAGAATAGATTCCATTTTTTTTTAAATTTAGCCGAACGTATTTTAAGGGAATAAATGAATAGACAATTTCTGAATATTCAGCTGCGATCAATACGGAAAAGCATTTACAATATGTTGGGCAAAAAGAAAATAATCTAATGACGGCAAGGATGATGAAATTTTAACATTGCGCAAATACCGTTGCAATTGCTTCAGAAAACAAAAGAAAATCTCACTTATGCCTCTGTTGTGAAAGGCAATGTCCGTGTTCTTCTGTTATTAGTCTAATAGGAATACATTTTATTGTATTACGTACTATACATTCATTATAATAAACAAATTGTGGGTGATGTGAAAAATAAAGATATTCAATATATGAAATATTGAATCCAACTTTTTCATGAAATTCTGTAGGAATACAAATGCAAATTGTTAGTAGGAAATTACAAATCTTTAGATCATAAAAATGATAATATGAGTGTTACTCGCGCAACTTTTCTTGAATCACCGTTCAAGAACTGTGGGTACAGTAGGGGTATTAGTTATGAAATCCAACACCAGATTTTATGAAGCAAAGTCAATCTCTGGAGAATTAGTCCTGCCTTCCACTAATTCTCAATTTTCTATCTAACTTCCTCAGAATTTCTAGGTATCTCCTGTGACTGGACTTTATCTGCTTTGGTGATTCATTTAGATATTTGGAGAAAATGACGGATAGATGTTCTCGTCTTCAAAAGAACAATGTTTGTATTTCGCGCCAGTGAAGATTTGTTTGGAATGTTGTCATTAGTGCTTGCTGCGAGCTTTTGCCCTCAACTGTTTATAGTGCTAGAGAGGGGGAAGCTAGGTCATCGTTCAAGAAAAGTTGCGCGAGTATTAGTCAAATTGACTCAAAGGCCAAATATGTCCAGTTAAGGGTTAAAGTTAAAATAATGAAAACAGGATAATTCAAACGATTTATACACTGCATTACACTTCAAGATGACCTACATACCAAAGGAAAAGAAAATGTACACACAAGAACGCAGAAACCATAAATATACGTAAATTAATAGTAATGCACATTTTTCCACATAGAAATTAACTTCATGCCAAACAAAATGCAACAAATAGAATCAGAAGTACAAACCATGTAACAAATAGAATATACGACAAAAATTCTTCGAAAAAGAGCTAAAAATATTAAATAAAAGCAAGCAGTTATTTATATCACTGTACACTGTATATAGTTGCAGTGATGTCCAGAACAACCGACATTCTTAAGTTATTACGCAGCATGGACCTCAGTGAAAAGATTTTGAAATCCCATGATCTCCATTGTGGTCCAAAAACACTAATTCAAATTTCAAATAACTTAAGAAATTTAAGAGGATTACAAAATTTCCTTCCACAGCTCCTGAAGACTGCAATTGAATATTTAAATGGATTCAAAAGCGTCTCATGTGAAATTCGTACTTTAAAACACTTTATACATACAATATAATGAATAAACTTTATTAATATTTGCATTTTAAAGCTCACAAGTACTATCAATTCTGAATGAAGAAACGAAGAGTCCTGCAATAAGAACTACCAATCAAATAGTCAAGGGAAACTGTTATTAATGAATATTAACCCTACAATGTCAAGTAAAGGAAAAACTTCGTTTACATACTTCACTTAATATATTTTATTAATACACGAAACATTTTCACCGACCTCCAAAAATCCACCTGAAAAAATAAATTTATAGTCATCACACCAAAAGGGTAAAAATTAATATTATTGTGTTCACACCTTGCATTCACCGCTTTCCTTACGAATCTATGAAAACAAACTACAAGAAAACACTTCATAAAGCTTGTCAAATTAAACTAAGCGTAAAAAGGAAACTCCTTGTAAACACACTGAAAAATTTTTGAAATACATGTATGAGTACACAAAAACAAAACCAGCGCTACCATACATTTAAATCATTTACTAATCACAAGAATTAATTATTCAAAAATACAAAAATTTGTGCAATACTAAAACTAATCATTAGCATTAAATACACTGAATAATTAGTTCTAATATCACAAAATCTAGTAATAAGAAATTACGCACTAACGTTTTTATTGTGCTACCAGTTTGAAAAACGTTATAATTTGATAATAAAAAAGAAAGCAATTCAAAAGGCATTGTTACACTTATAATCATTTAAAATTTAAATTTCCCAGATTAGGATGTCTAACCTAAAAAAAACTATCTACAGCAAAGTTTATAAAACTCTCACAAGCACCAAAACGTTCACTCGCGAATTCAATCCACATTTACCCAAGGAAATAAAACTGTACATTCAGCCAAGCAAAGGAACATTCATGCAAGCACATTTTTCTCAAACCAAATTAAAAGAATGCACTTTTAATAACCATTCCACCAAACCGCTTATTCAACTTTAAAGCCACCTATCTCCATTCACTAAGAAGCAAATAAACCAAACCGAGAAAAATAGTCTTATACACCCTTCTCCAGGGTCTGTCCACAATACTGCCGAAAAAGCGCCGACGGGAAGTTTGCCCCTTCGTTGCGTTCTGCCTGCGAAGCTGCACACTCCAGCCAAGGGCGCCAGCGAGAACTGCTGGGCCATCGTAACCACTACCTCATCGCTTACCTCGAGAGCTGCCATAGGATATATCCACGAGGTTCGCTAGTGCACCACCAGAAGGCTACAATGCAGAATTGTGTGCATGAGGCTAGTTTTCATTTGAGCTTAGGAGGGGTACACCAAAATTCCCCTGAAACGAATACCAATACGTAGTATTAGGATCATATGCATTTTAAGATCTTTAATACAATTGCCCACAATTCGCTCCACATCATTGGGTTAGTAATATGCCGTTGTAACTATTTTTAATTTTTGAGAAATTTAATAATTTTCGATTTTTTAAATGTAACCTTGTATTGTCTTACTAGCAATAGATCATAAAATTGGGAAAGCAATGATTTAACATGTTAAAGTTTTGATAGTATATCGAGTATAAAATTATATTTTCTTACACGTTATTTGAAACTAATCTGATATTTCTTTTAGAAGCCCTTGTAACTGTCGTCTTTGGGGAACTTCGCCTTCGCGGTGCACTTTCGTGAGAGGGTACAGGTCGCGAAGTCCACCTTCCCCTTAACAGGACAGTTGCTAGGGCTGTGACAGAAAATATTCGAAGTTTAATTCTAAACCACGTCTTTAAGTATAATTTTATACTCAAAATGCTATAAAATTTTAACATTAGGTATTATTGTTTTCATCTTTTTAAGATATATCCATTGCTGCTGAGAAAAACATTTCTATTTAAAAAATCGAAAAATTAAAGTTCTTGAAAACTAAAAATATTTAAAACAGCATATTACTCACCTGATGAATCCGCATTGTTGAACGAAAACTGCACTTCAATATCGTGAACCGTTTAGAAGTTATGGGGGTGGCGGTGGTCCATAGGTGTTGGAACATTAATTAAACCTCCCCCACCCCCCTTAGAAATCTGTACGATAAAAGTTTAGCTCTTTAGCTACTGCGCGTCTTACTTTAAAAATACAATTCCTCTATCTTATTTCTGTACTGATAAGAATAAAACATTGCAATACTTTTCTTGTTTAAAAAGTTAACATCACATGCAACGCGACAAGCAAACTAAAGCAATTTGTTTTTCGTAAGATTTTTCTACATGCAGTAACCCAGTTTCAGAAAAATCGATTTTGTTCGAGCGCATATTATGAAATAATTTCATTACAAACAACATTTCGAGTGTTGAATATGCTATTCCATAACTTCAAAAGAAATTTTATTTTAACATTTTCGAACTATGGAAATACAACGGTGATTTACGTCACACCTTTTTATTACAATCTAACTGCACTAAAGATATATTATTCTTATTACATAATTTTCTATAAAATCTACAGTACTGATTTTCAATGCGCGTAAAAATTTTAAAAAACTTGAATCTTCCGGCCATGTGAAACTTACGGAACAAAACTCTCGGGAAATCCAAACACAATGAAATGGTTCTGATTTTTACTTAAAAATCCAATTCTTCCTTTCTCATCCTGCGCTTGTAGACTACTCTCATAATTAGTGAATCTCCAGTTAGACCTGCTGACGCTATATGAGTAAGGCACGCAGGAAGAGGCCACCTATCATTAAAAACAGTGAACCACGCACGTTCGCCACAGCAAATACATCGAGAACGGCTTGAGGCATCGAGAAGCCATTTGCGCCATGCTGCAGATGACACATAACATTTCATTTTATTAGTGCCGTATGTAATTTAAGAGATGACAACCTTTTTTATTATTTTTTAAAATTGAAGTTGTATTTTCCCATAGTTCTAAAGGTTTTTAAAATGACAAAAATATTAAATGTTAATAATTGATCAGTAAGTTTGCAGAAACCGTACAATTAGAACTAAACGCCATACCATAGCTCCAAAAGAGTTGACCTTGCACGCTGCTTAAAAATGTGCGATTTGTACAGATGGTTCTTGACAAGTTCTTACATACTTATTTGCCACCAAGACCAGCTATAAAATCTTATTTTACTGAATTCGACACCATATCCCACTATTTAGCAAGTCTGATCGCAACTAGTGATAAACTTAATAGATTAACTTACATTTCTCGGCGAGAAACTTCTAGATGTAGAAATCCCTCCCAAAGCCAAAACGTTCTCACAAACGCTCCCCGAATGCAGCCTTCGTTCTCCTGCGAGATCAAAATATTTCAAGAAGGCCGCGCGGAGAACTCAAGGTCCTTTATTCGTTATAAATTTGACCATTTTCCGCGGAGAAAATTCCAAATATACTTTCAGTCTTTTAAAATCTTGTTTGTTCTAGAAATTCGAGCCATAGCGACTAGCATCTAGGCATGTCAGCTCATTCCTTCTCTCTACAAGAATCTGCTCACCTCCTTGAGAATATGGAGAACTAGTACACGTACCCGAGAGAGAAATGCCGTCGAACACATTAACTATTTTTGGACCCAGCCGACGCTTCGCTACAAGTGTTCAAAAGCTCTGGCCTTCAGCCTATGCGTTTTAACGAAGTTTGACTAAAGGAATTTTCATGGAGCTTCGTGCCAAAATACTTCGAAAAATCTCTAAAAACAAAACTAATTTAAGCAATATTTTTAAGGAAATTGCTTACAATCGAGGAAGCATACATTGACATACGACTTTTATTACCATTCTTTGAAATGTACCCTACTACAATTTCTTCTTTTGTTCATGCCACAAAAACAAACTCTTAGAATTTCAAGTTCAATGTGTTACGTAATCAAATCGAAATGAATAAAAAAAACATTTAGGTAACACTTACCTTTCAGATATTCTGGGAGCACGATACACTAGTCCACGGTCTGCATGTTCTAGAATATCTCTTCCCCTAACGCGACACCCAGTGGCTCACAGTCTACTAAAGCTGGTGCCGCATGCAGCCGTTTGGCCGGCAGAAGTTCTTGGATCGTGATTGGCTACATATTTCATGCAGCGTGAATTTTCGGAACTAAGCATACGAAGTACAAAGTACAAAGTTATATAAAAATAATTAGAATATCTGTTATTATATAACATAAAATTGGCAGTATTAATACTTCAGTAGTCGCATGGATTACAAAAGTAGTTCATACATTAAAAAGAACCGTAATTTCTTATTTATTAAATTTTAATTCGGTTTATTGTTAATTATAGCCCGCAAACGTCTATAATTTTAAATGTTATGGTGTACGAATTTTTTCCTAAGATTTAAGTTACATAACCACGGGTTGTGTGTTCAATATGAGGTGAAACAAAGTTTTATCTCTTATATAAATATACATCTTACTGCAGAATGAAATCGAGGTTTGTGCCAAGAACAATGACACGAATGGTTTATAACAATTTTACTTTTTGTTTCATTGTCTCCTCTTCGTTTATGCCTCGAAGAAGAAGAAAGACTTGTTATTGTGTGTGTTGAGCGAGTCAACTGCTGTGGTCATTAGTCCCGCAAGAATTAGGATATGTGAAATCGTGGGAGATAACGGACTTCCTTCTCTGCTAGAGCGCGACATCCGCCGAAGACTTACGAGTAGAGGTGGTTTCCCCTTCTAGGTATCTCCTCTATCGGGGCACTGCCCCTTCCAGGGAAAGCTCTAAGCTCCAGCCTGGTCTAACGGTAGTGTAGAGCATGTAAGAGTATGTCTATACATGGGGAGAAGAGGGGACACGGATAAGAAAGCAGAGATCGCGCTTGGACCATGGCATGTTTGTTACGGTGCTGCTCCAGCATTCACCTGCTCCAGCGTGTTAATCATGGAAAACTAATGACTGATACCGATTGGTATTGATCGGGGAACTTCAGTAAACCGCCAATCAGAGCAGCCGTCGCTAGAATTCTCCCCCACGTTTGATTGATTACTAATGATTCCAGGCGCGACAACGGCTACGATCATTAGTCCCGTAAGTGTAGTGCGTGCATTTACTCGAGATGTGCAGATGATCTTGCCTCGCTGGATGGCGAGATCCGGCGCCGACCTACTGTCGGCAAGCCGGTATCTCCCATCAGCGGGGCACCACGCCAGCCGAAACAAACTCGAAGCTCCCGAACGGTCTGCCGACATGTGTGGTAGCGTAATGTATGTAAGTCTAAGCGCGTGTGAGGGGTGAGGTTAGGGCAAGAAATTAGAAGGAAAGATCGCGCAGCCCGTGGCACTTTTGTTATGGTAATGCTCCGGCATTCGCCTGGTATTGATCGAAAAAAAAAAAACCTGGAAAACAACTGAGTAGAGGAGCCGGTCGCTAAAATTCTCCTCCACGATTGATTGATTACTAATTATTCCAAGCGTGATAACGGCTACGATCATTAGTCCCGTAAGTGCAGTGCGTGCATTTACTCGGGATGTGCAGGTGATCTTGCCTCGCTGGATGGCGAGATCCGGCGCCGACCTACTATCGGCAAGCCGATATTTCTTCAAACAGGAATCTCCCACCAGAAGGGTACCACCCCAACCGGGACAAGCTCTAACTACCAACCGGTCTCCCGCAATGTGTGGTAGTGTGGTGCATGCGAGTGGGTGCAAGTAAAGGGTAGGGTAGGATAGGACAACGAAGGGGGAAAAAATATCCCACGCGAAGGACGGGTACTGCCGCGGTACCGCCTGATGCCGATCAGAAAAATACACGAAAGCTACCGATCAAAGCAACCGGCTGGTAGTATTATTTTCCACACAGTGACACCACTCGACCCAGCTATCCGACTAGTGTCGAAATCGTCTACATGCCACCGTCATGACTCGGACCCAGCGCTTCCCGGTCAGTGGCTTTCTTTACGCTAACCAAAGACAGAGTTTGACCACAAAATGTTGTGCCATTTTTGAGAAAAATATTGAATATGTTTTTAAGGCTTCATGTGACGTACCCTCAAAATTCAAAATATCTGTTTGAAACCCCCAAGGCTACAAGTTCGTTCTCATCGATTGGCGAATATCACTTTTCAAGAAAATCCGACTGAACTGTTTAGGCGCTAGCGTTGACCATAGATGGGCAGATGGACGTTTCTCCGTCAATCGATTTTTACTAAATTTTTACCAACAAGAACATGAATTTTGGATACACCACGTGTTAGAGGATTTTTTCCTAAATTTAGCACAGGATTTATCCACTTTTTCGGTTCAACAGCCCGGCAATAAGAGTTTTTCTGGAGAAAATTCGCCGTTTTTCGGCGTACGATTACATAACTTTCTCTTCTTACGAAGTATTCGTAAGTAGAGAAAGTAAAAATTTAGATTCGTCTTCTGGATTTTGAATTGGAAATAAATTGCCTTTACTTCAAGCAAAAATTACGCGAAGTTTCGGTATGAAGTTGTTAGCTATTTTCAAAATATTGTACAAGGCCTTATTTAAAGATCTGTCTAGAAAGAATACATTTAATTAACGAACAAATCTATCCTCGATATTGTAGATGAAGGAAGAAGGTGAAAATTTTTTGAACTACTGCAATTTTCAGGGTTCTATAAAAATCACACCTGCACCGCTTTTTAAGCGTTCTTTATTTTATCCGAGATAAAAATGTAATCCACCACTTTGGAGTAATTTTTGAGAAAATTTAGAAAATGTAAGGGTTCATTTAAAGAAAACCCCCTCCCTCAATTCAAAATATGTTTCAAATTCCCAGGTTCTGACATATCGATTGAGGAATACCAATTTTGGACAGTACCGTCTGAAAGGTTCAGGTGCTAGCGTTGACCACAGGGGCTGACAGGCATGTTTTGCTGTCAACAAATTATGCGGTATGAAGGATCAACAAAACGTGGGTTTTGTCAATACAACATGTTAGAGGAATTTATTTACTGTACCCAGAAAGAAGATCGATCCACGTTTTCGAAAAAAGGGCTCCACATTAAGAGTTTTTGACGAAAACTCGCCACTTTCCGCTGCAGTATTACAATACTTCCTCATTATTTTGTATGTAGTAGGCAAGAAAGTAAAAATGATCAATTATTTACATTTATTTCACATTTTTTACTTATTTAAACAACTCATTCTGTTGTATTTCAATTTGTATAGAGCTAAAATGTATATTTAAAAAAGTTGGCCTTGCATTTACAAGTAATTCTAGATTTATGGGGAAGGTATACCAAATTCATTCATTTCTAGGATTTATGTAATAAGAATCAAATGTTTATATAACAATTTATATATCTTGGTTGGCTCTTAACTACTAAAATGTTTACATGATATTACTGCTGCTACAATGGCAAAGACTTCTAATACTAGTTAGTTTCCTTACCTCTTTGGTCTGGGCTATATTTTTGGTTTTGTCACATTCTCTTCCTAACTGCTAACTATCGGCATCTAATAGATTTTCATTAGGTACAGTGGATGTTAAATATACCTCTATAAAATGTACAGTGTCTTGCATGTACAGTGTAATTTACCTAATAAAAATCTGTTCCAGAAAAATGAATTTACAAATTTATGCTTTTCTTAGTTTATTATGTATTCTTTTATGCAATAATTCAATGTTTCACATCAATATTTGACAAATGTATATGGAAGTATCAGCAATAATCTGAAGAGCAATCATTTGAAAATTGACATTTTTTTTAAAGCATCAGTTCTTTTATTATTGTCTTCATTGTATTCCCCTTCAAAATTTTCTTCTTCCTTTCAATAAAACTGAATGTATTAGAGGTTTTGAAAGTTACAAAATTAACATTTTAAAAATAAATAATTCAAAGTAAGTGGAACTATCTTGAAAATTCTGATGCTTGAAATAGCCAATACCCTTTTAAAAATGTGTGAAAATGTTTTAAAATTTGTGAAATTTCAGCGGGGGTGATTGGGTTTTTCAAAAATGGAATGCCTACTCATTAATGGGTTGAATAACATTTCTGCATGACCTTCACAACACTATTTATCTTCTTAATACCTTACCTTATTAAAAGGACATAGTAACTGTAAACTTAATTGGCATACTAAACAATGTCGGTAATTTGGTTCATAATAATGAAGTAAATAATATTCAGATATAAATAAAAGCCATGTTCAATTTATTCATATTTTGTGAATAAGGAGAAAAAAGATTTGTTCTCCTTTACCTCAAGTTTTTTAAAATATAAATTAGGAATTCAGAATTTACAAAAAGCTTCAGAATAACAAGAATGCAAGTCTAAAAATAATATTCAAAATTAGTATCATGAACATAACAACAACTTCAGACACTGTTAAACATCATAATTTGTTTATTATTTTCTGAAATATCTAAGTTTTACCTATGGTTTGGCTTATCATTTCAAATTAAAAATTTATAATAATTACAAAATTCTTCTATTGTTTCAAAACATTTCGGTGTAGTAATAAAACCAGTTTCTCATATTAGATTTATTTTTATCATTAAAAAAAACAAAAAAATAACAGCATTGCATTGTAACCTGACAAAGTTTCATGAAAAATTCTGTTTAAAAAATTACAGTTGAGATGTTCAACTGGCAAAAAGATAGGGTTCTCATCAGGTTTTTGAAGAATCTGTAGACTTAAAGGTGTATCCATATCGTTTCATTATAATGTTTTAATTTTGTGTATACTGATTAAAATTAAGGAGCTTTGAATATAATATCTTAGTTCTAGAAATTGTATTTGTATATTTTACGTCTTACAGTTTGCCAGAAATGACTCGTACTCCACAGTTCATTGTAAAGTACACTAAATCAATCCTTTCCAATAATTACCAGTTCTTGACAAAAGGTCGATTTTACTACTTAATGTCCAAAAAAAGAGTAAATTTCATGTACATGAAGTTGCTTGAGAATATAATTTGTATGAAAAAAATTCTTAAATAAAAAGAAGAAATTAAGTTTATTCATTTTACAATAATTATATAATTATGAATCTTTACAGAAGGTTGTACAAAGAAATGCACTATAATACACTTCTTAATTATTTCATATTAGAGAGTTATTCTACAACTTTCTAATAAATAGGGTGACTTTACAAGAATTATATCCCATGACAGTTTGTTGAATATACAAATATTCATCAAGACAGATTTGATTTTGAAATCTGTGGGGATGCGTGCTTCACCTTCAAGGTACTGCCAAATAATAAAAAGAAATCATATTGTAAATAACAATGGTATTATTCATTTATTCCATGAATCTATTGCAATCAACAAATAGGAATAACTACAATAAAATATTGAACATTTAAGTATATGATACTTAACACATTTTACAGCACTCTTACAACCAAGCATAATGTACATGACACTACATGTAAAATCACCACCACAGATACATACTTACATGTAATTATTAGGAGCACAGGAGCAGGCAGGCTGTAGGAAAAATTAAGATAAATCTATTCTAAATCTTTTGTCATGGCAGTGTGGTTGTGGTGTATAAGATCTGATGCAGATTCTATACACCAACACAACAAATCATAAAATAAACTTTAAATATAATAAAGTATTTCTGTGGGGTTCTGTAGTAAAATATATTTGCAATGAAAGTTGAAAGATGATCATGATACGAGGTGTTATGGATTATGGAGATTATTTCATAAGTTAAGGACAATCACTGGACTCATCACTGTTTTTTTTTCAATTGGGGAGGGTATTAACAACATCAATACAAGTTTTAAAGAAAGAATGTTCATGTCCTACGTTCTTGGTAAGTGCTAAGCAATATTCTAAGACTTTTAGGAAGCAATTACTGAATATTGAGAAGAACCTTGACAAATATTTCATTATTTCTGAGTATTTCTGCAATTCAAGTTGAACACATCGCTTTTAGTTGTGTTCACAACCGATTAACATGCCTTAAAACTGAAAGACCACAATGGGCTGAGAGTCTGACAGGCTACGTAAGTGTTCTGTCTATAGAAAAAGCAGTATATTTTGGCACAAAAGCTAATTGGTTTTAAAGACCTTTAAAAGTAAATAGGTATATTTATAATACAAGAAACATTTAAACTGCATTTGTTTTTAAAACATCTCTGCACCTACATCTTACATAATATTGAAGGGACAGTCACTAAAACACGCAGAGTTAACATTCAGTGGTCAAAGTCACAACAAAATGGGTTCACTTTCTCTCCACTACTTCCTTTCTCTCACTCACTTTGTAAAAACTAATTGTAACTCCCTTCAAGGCTGAATATGGGGAGACAGTGTGGAAAATGTGGTATTTAAAAATAATAAAAGATAAATGCCAGAGTTCTGTTTCATACTCCAAATCTTGCGATTGACTAGTTACACAGTCCACCCATCTTTCTCTCTTGTTTTGTCAACCCACTATGCGCAAGTGGGACAACATTCTCCGTTATGATGAACAGGAGACGCACATGCCAATTCAGCACATTTCATCATTGTGCATGTGATCTGCCTCTCCTGAAAAAATGGAAGTAACATGTAATCTTGATGGAAATTAAATATTTAGAATAAAAAATCAACTTATGATCATAAATGTTCAATACTTACCTCTTCTGAGGCATAAAAAACGGCTGTTATAGCAATAACACAAATCTTAAATTTCTAAATACTTTAATTATATCTTCCTTAATTTAAAATACTTAGACAATTTTTTCATTCATATTTCATGATTTTAAGAACTGTGCATTGTTTTGATTCCAGAATGATTTACATTTTTATTACATTTTTTTATATAAAGTTAAAAGAGCAAATTTTAAAAAAGGCACTAAAGCATTTGACAGCCTAGGGTGCGCGTAAGTCTAAGTGAGGCACTGCGTTGGAAAAGATCTAAACTCTCTTCAAAATCAGTTCTTGGAGAACAAGAATGCTTCTTCAAAAAGTTTTGACAAAGGAAAATATTTATTTTGCTTTTTTTCATGAAACAATCACAGGAAGCAAAATAATGAATGAATGTAAATTTAGTGTAAGTTATTTTTAAAACATACACAATTTTAAAGAAAAAAAATTTAAGATTTCTTACTGTACCTTGCATATGCAATCTGTGCAGTTGTCTTTCTTCCAAACTTCATTATTCTTTCTCCAGTTTCCATCTGCATCGACGCATTTATTGGAAGAGTTGTGCTTTCCATTACCTTGACAATGGTGTTCCAACTTCCTGATTTTCCTTCGAAGTTGTTTGATGGTTTTCTGAAATTCTTCTAATGCTGTTTCAATTCCCTCTATTCTTTCCTCTTCAACTTCATCTTGATCAGCCCGTGAATTGCTTGATCCAGAAATTTCATTTTCTTTTGTAGTAACTGGAGCTGGCTGTTGGGGCAGAGGTGTAGTCGAGATGGTTGAATTATCAACCATTGGTTCAGGAGTGGGTGTGAAAGTGGTAGGCTTTTCACTTGCATATGAAAAGTCAATAGCACGTCTTGTTCGTGTAGTTGAAAGTCTGGTAATACTGTTGAATTGCCCCGCATTGTTGCAATCTATTCAAAAGAAAATTATTTTTCAAAAAAATGTATTGGAAAGAACTGAGTAATCTAGCACAGATCCAGAAAGTACTTCAGGAGGGGGCCAATCTCTGTTCATAACCCTATCCCTATTTTTGTCATGGCATTTATTTAAAATCTTGAAAAAATTGAAAAATTTATTATCTTTAAAAAAAAAAAAAGTGTATGTTTTGTATTGAAATTCTCATTTATATGTGATCCAATCAATATATTATAATTGTTTTGAATTAATTGAGTAGAATTACAAATTATTTTGCCTTTGAGCCCTCCCCTTTCCTCCTAGGATCTGCCTCAATGACCATGTTCTTTTGGTCATGAGCTACTTCACATGTTTTCCAATAATTATTGCCAGAGAATTTATGTGAAAAGATAATATACTTACCGTGACAACATTCTGTCCAGAATCTTAGATCCACCTGAGGAAGCTGGTTACAAGACAAGAAAGCTGGATTCTGATGTTTTGGTAGTACGAATACATTTTGTGTAACATCAGTAATATCATCGCCATTATCACAGAGTACCCGAGCCAAAGACACTTGCTTGATCTGGGTTAATTGCTCAGGTTTAAATGTTGCTGGATTCTCATACCAGAACCTTCAAATAGAGTGATAAAATGTAAGAATTCTAAATTATTTAATTTTTTTCAGAAGTATCATTTGATGTATTTTAACAAACCTGTCACCCTCTCTCAAGCGTCTAAATTGCTCTACCAGGAGGCACCTAAATGTTGGCCCGACTTTAGCTCCTTCTGCTAGATCCTCAAGAATTCCACCAACCCATATATCAATGTTACCTATGGGAACAAATACAAATTTCAATATGCACATATGACAAACATCTGATAGATAACATTCTTCAACTCACTGTATTCTATTACTGATTCCTGCATGATCAGCTAACAGAGGACTCTTATGTTAATATGAATATTGCTATAGGTTTTATTGAATGTTGTAACTTCAAATTACATGTCACTTCATTACTTGAACCTACTAAAATTTTGAAGAGTGCCTAAAATAGCTTATTCAATGTACTTTGGCTTACTGTTTACAAGGAAAATTTCCCTATTCCTTCTGTGTGAGGAAAGCATTTTACCTTTCGAAAAATCTAGCTTCGATGGTTGTGCACATAATATAAATAACATTTGTCCTTTTTTTTAACAGCTTATGAAAGTATTCCTAGACAGCAGGATTATTGTTTCCACTTGATGCCCGAGAAAGTGTCAACAGTACTGAGAACACGAGAAATGTTCCTATTTCACAAGGGACCACCATAACCACTCTCTTGACCTTCTTGTGATAGCAGTGCCACCCTTTTGACATTCTTATTATCACAATGACACCCTTTTGACATTCTTGGTATAAATGCAACAACAAAGTTATCTTAATTCCTTTTCTATAAACAATCAGATTGCAGACTATTGTATAAGAAAAAAGAAGACTCAAACACGACCTGAGATACAGATTTTCAGTTACAAATGCTTTGAAACACTAACTTCATAACCTTTGTATGATAGTATAGAAAAATAAAATACCTAATTTAGATTCAAAAGCACATACTATTCGAGATATTTTGTCATCTTGTTTTAGTCACATAAAATGGATACTTTTGATATATGGATTCTCTAGTCTACTTATAATTTTTTATCCGACTTTGAGATTATTGGAATATGACATAAATGATTTGAAGTTTAATATATGTTTTTCTGATTCACATGACAGTGTGCACATTAAGATAGTTTAAAATCAAAATTAAGGTAATAAATTGTGGTTGTAGTAAATAATAAGTTGCACTGAATATAAGCTGTACCCTGAACCTAAAAAAGAAATATTTTGAGAAGTCAACTATTAAATTGTGTGATATATTATTACATTTTAAATATAAAATATATTGTCGGTGTATACTTAATTTATTTATCAATAAGTTGGGAAACATAATACATTAAAAAATATTTATGTACACTTACCTGGGTGACCATACAATTTCTTCAAACCTTCTCGAACACCTGCATTACTAATCTCCCCTCGTAGATCTTCAAATGTTAAGGCTTCTGTTAGATTGCAGTATCGCCTCCAAGAATTGTATGAAGGAATTCCATGATCTCGACCTCTCTGGATGTTTATAGCAGCCAAATCAAGTGCAACAGCATGTGCCACTTCAAACAAATGTTCAGTCAGCTCTGTATTCAGATTCTGGTTTGGCATTTTCAGCTTTGCTGGCACACTAAAAAGACCTCGGAGCAGAGGATCTACACCACCTTCTTCAACCAGTCTCCATGGGGAGAAGAAAGCTTTCTGAAGAGGAATATTACCCTCGGGGATTGGTTGAAAAGTTTTGTTCAATCTGTGAAGGACTGGGTTGATCAAAGAATGGCCAAATCGCAGAGCAGCTGTAGCAAATACATTTGAAATTGATGGATCTAATGAAGGATCATATCCTTTGTATTCACCCAGCATTTCCATTCCTTTAGCACCAAGGATATTAGGTAGCCATTCATGATATGTAATTCGTTGGACTTCAGCTCCTACAACTTTTCGAGCTTCATGATACAGCATGTTACCATCCCAGTGTGGATTCAAAATCTTCAGTTCCCTTGCAATGCGATTATGTTCTCTAAACCAAATGGTATGCATTGCTAGAAGTCCAAGCTGTTCATTAGATCGAATATCACCGGCAATGAAACAGCCGATATCGCTTTCTGATGGATCACGTCTGCAGTCATTTGGCTGACTGTCTGCCAGAGGTAGCAAAGCTTTGCGGCCTGGAAGTTTAATTCCTTCTCGAAGAAGTCCAGTCTCTCGTGATAATTCACGAAGATCTTGAGCTACTTCATTGGAAAAACCATAAACCTGTAAACCAAATGTTAGAATCAGAAATTTATATTTCAAACAATATTAATTAAAGTAACAGAAGCCATTAAGTTTAAAGTTAGAAGTTCTTATAAATATAGTTTATAGAGAAAAACTTTATGGAGTAAATAATGATTAAAGTCATGATTTGATTGTAAAGACATATTATCTTAACTGCAATTCATAATTGGACAAGATCAATAATATTCAGTTTTCTTGAAATGTAATTCTTAGTTTCATATTGAAACAAAAACATATCCTGCACTTTTGTAAGTATTTTTCATTCTAAATTCAGGTGATGTAAGTTATAATAATCTACACTGATGTAAGCTGTATTGAATCTAATAAAACATAAGTAATTATACATCAAGGTTGTTCTAGTTTTTGATAATGAAATAAGTTAAATGCTACTTTCCACATGTTTGCCACACATGCACTGAGGTAAGTCAGAAAGTTATTATGTGTACAATAGTGGATATTGGAGTAAATACATTTTTAGCCAAGGGTGTACAATAGGAACACATAAATATGTTAAATAAAAATTGACATTGAAGGAAAGCATCAGTTTTCTCTGATCTTTAATCTCATGCAAAACAGAACTTTAAAATGTCAATTGTGAATTCTAATATGAGTTCTTCAATTAACTGAATATTTCAATACTTTGCTCACCTGAGATGCATCAATAAAGGAAGTCAACTGATTAATCTGTTCTCTTGGAACAACTGTCTCAAAAAATACAGAAGTATGTCCTGAACCACATATTGCACTGCTGCGTACAAAATCAATACATCGCCTATTTCTAACTCTTGGGTCATTCGGAGGTACTTCAATTGGGTAACAAGGAGCTGCATAATCACATGATCTGTAAATGCAAAAATATATTAATTAAAATTACAATATTTCTAACAAAGATACACAACTATAAGAAGTATTTTCACAATATGTAATTGTTTATAAATGAACTATCAGCAAGAAATAAAATATCTCAGGAAACATTTGAAAGTATACAAAAAGTAACATGACTGAAGTGTGTCCCTCACTTTTTACAGTCAATTCCATCCCAACTTTCACTGCTTACAGCAGGCAAGGCATGGTCAAGATCATGATCCAGAAATTGACCCCACTGCATAAGCATGTGTGTCAGTCGCTCATCAGGTGTAATTTCTTCTGTACTAATGAGTTCTGTTGATACAAGCCGAGCACTAGGCTTGGGATATCCAAAATATTTCACATCTTTCTTCCAACCTAAAATATAAATCCAATAAAAATCAATAGTCCAGTAAAGAAACAAATAATAAATATTATGAAGAGAGGAAAAGAAAATATTTGGTGAAAATTCATGACACAACAACCAACTATTCATAATACATAACAAGTTCAAATTATAATTAGGGAAATATTTTTCAATCTCGACCAAAATATCAAGAAAAGTAATCTAACAATGTGAAACAAAAGAATCACGTTTTGTACCTATTGGCATGCTGAATCCATTCTCATATTCAGGTTTGAGGACCCGCCTAAAACCTGTGAGAGAAGCTCCCCACATAGGATGCATCAAGTTGTTACAGGTTCCATCAATGCTCCTGTATTTGCTGTGGTAGCACATGTCAGAACAGTTAACATGTGGTCTGTGTGCCATACAACCAGACAAATTGGCTACAAGTTGAAGCTGGGTTGTTGATAGGAGGTCTTTGTATGAGAAATCTGTGAAATAAAGAAAAAGTAGTAATGATGAGTAATCAATGGTAACTACAAAGCATTTCAGTGATATTTGCAGAAATGAATGAGAAGTAAAACTCAATTCAAATGTAGTTTCTTGCTAATTAATTTTGTCTGGATTTATGATATTCAGTCAGAAATAACTTAGATGAAAGTAAACTGAATTTTTGCTCACTTCACTTCCTTTCACTCTCGATATTTCAGCTCAGCTTTTTCTAAACCTATTCTGGAATGTTGTAGGAGCATATTTTATATTATTTTCAATACTTTTCATTTTATACTTCAATACTTTTCAATGGCATTTTAAACAATTCATTGGCTTTGGGTTGATACAGTTAGAAAAGTCAAGTCCTTTTCCAAAGTTAAATCTAGAAATTGTACAATAGAGAACTTCTTGTCTTTAATTTCATAATATTTGATTTTTTTGATGTAGAGTTAAATTAAGATTTCCATTTCATCAAAAACCTATTCACAAGCAATATTTTAAATTTATTTTAAGTCACATAGACATTCCACATGTTGTCTCACAAATTATTTTCTTTTCTTGCAAAATATTTAGTGATTTCTGGAATTTTCCACTTCATACAATTAAATATAGGCTAATTCACAAGTAAGATCAATATCCATAATGATATTTGTTGAATTACTTTTGTGAGTAATAATATAGGTATTACATACTTTAAAGTTAAAAAACAATGATGGAAATTCCTGTATGTTATTGAGATTTTTAAAGAACTACAAAAACTATCTAATCTCAAACTCAATAAAGTATTTAAAAATGCTGTTATAGTAGAATCCATTAGAATTCATTATATTATGTCTACAATGTGTGACATTGTAAATATATTGTATTCTAAAATTGAAAACTGTTTTTATCTGAATTAATTATTTAAATCAAATTGATCAGAAACTTTCATTCCAATTGAACATAAATTTAAACAACATTGAAATAATTTGAATTAAAACAATGTATGTATGAACAACTTAATCTGCCTGACAGCATTTGAAAGAATTAGTGCACCTGTCGCAAGTAGCAGTGATGAGGAAAAACAGGCAATTTGTTGAATGTAATGTAATTGCTTTCCTCACCAACCACAATTTGCCAAAATACCCCCTGAATCTATGAGTGTTACTTTTTGAAGTACAAAAGAATTTACTCAGCTCCACTTACACCCTATCATTTTTGAAAACTATGAATTTCATTGTCCTACCCAAGAAGCACACCTGAGCACATGTATATGGAAAGCAAATAATATGGATGTTAAAATATTACCTGTGGTAAGATTTAGCTTCATTCCAGCCTCAACATGTTTCCTAATATTAACAAGTGTTCTTTCATAAATATCAGCAGCTCGAGCCAAATCACGAGCTTCTTGATTTGGAAACCTTAATAATCTAAACAATTCATTTGGAGAAGCAGGTTTTGCAGCACGATCTTGAGAAAACAATCTTGTTAGAGTGTCATTGACTGCTCGATCAATAGCTCGACTGGCTTCTTGGAATGCTTGTTGTACAAATCTGTCTCCTGGACCCATCACTGGCTCTTCTGTAAAACAATTCAGTATCGAAATTCAGCAGAGGCAAGGAAAAAAAGAAAAGGAAATGATTTTTGTTTGAGTAGGATTATTCTTTCAACTTTGTAAAACAATAATAATAATAATCTGTTTTCATATCAACCTTTCACACTAAGTCGACCCTGGGCTCTTGAACGGCCATTTTCATTCTGTGCAGAACATTCATATACCCCAGCATCTTCATATGATACGTTACTTATGTAGAGACTTCCGTATTTTGAAACCCTGAAAAACCACAAATATCAGAAAGAAATAAGAAAAAGGTTAAAAATAAAGGAATATAATTAAATATACAACCATCAAATTAAATAAAATAAATAGATAAATCTATCAAATTCAAATAGTTGGGAACTTTTTTGAAGAATTCACATTTTTGGAAGTAACAACACTAAATTCCATTAAAACTTTTGTGAAGATATGACTTGCCAAAACTTGGAATAGGTGTACATATGTAGAAGAAGTTGTAAATATTAATTTTATTTGTTAACCATTGTATGCAAATAAGAAATTTTATCTTTAACAAATTTTACAACAATACTGACTTGTGACGCTTTGTGAGGTCCAGAGGCCTTCCGTCCTTACTCCATGTTATTGTAGGCTTTGGATCGCCAGCTGCTTTACACGGAATTTCAATGGTACTAAATGCCATTGCTTGCATGTTATATGGAGAAGCGACAAGTCTAGGAGCCATACTTCCATTGATAACACTGCCAAAGACTTCCTTTTGAAGTACAAATGATGGTGAACTTCGAACAACAGTGTCTCTCACAGTCAAATATGAACTTGTCTCTTTGTAGCCAGCTTGGTTTTGAGCACGGCACACATATTTTCCAGAATCTGTTTCCTTCACATATTGAATTCTTAGAACTTGTCCTAAGTGAAAAATAACATTTACATTTATAAATTATAATTCATAGTACATAGTTATTTTATTTTATTAGGTAGTTAATCAAATTAATATTGGTAAATTGTATATGAAATTTTGATTTCAAAAAATTTACCATTGTTCAAAATGGAAATGCGTCCCCCAGAAGATACACTGCGCCCATCTTTGAACCAAAATATTTCTGGATTTGAATCAGCAACACAATGCAATTCAGCTAAGCCACCACTCTTCAAGGTTAAATTGTCAGGTCGAGTGATAAAACTGGGTGCAACTGTAAAATAAAAGGAACAATTAATCCACAGGAAACATGATTTGAATAAGTATTGACAGCTAAATGCTTTAGAACAGGGATGAGCAAAATTACTAGAGAAGTAAAGAAAGACAAAATCAATATACTTATCTATTTAAAAAATTACATTAATGGTTTACATAAATAATAAAGTTGGTAGACCCTCAGTCATTTAAATATAATGTGTTATATTTGTTTTATGTTTAGGAAGGACAATTACTCATGGAAGCTCAAGCTTTCACTACAATACTACGAGTATATCACATTATGTATAATTTTGATACAAAATAGAGGTTTCAAATATTGATAAAAGTACTATTGCTACTTTATTCTGAATGGAGATATTTGTATTGAATTGCTAATTATTTATATGGTATTCAATTTGCCAGTCAATTGAAACATCTAAGCAGGTTAAATTAATACATACGAATAATATTTGACTGAATTATAAAACTATAAAAAAAAAAAATTAAGGTGATTTAAACTCTGAGTTGGTCTATGAAAGGAATTATAACAAAAATGAAATGTATGGAAACATCTAAAAGTCATGCATTCATGCTGTGCTTCTACAATACCCTAAATAATATTGTAGATTAACTATTCAAATTACTTGACAACAATGATTAATGTAGGCATGATTACCTTTTGCATGTGATTCAGTTTCTGAGTAAAAATGAAACAAACAAGACATATATTAATGAAATGTTCTTATCCAGAATTTATTGAGTTTCTGAAGAAGTTTTATTGTCCATGAAAAAACCTAACAGCAACTTATTAATTCTGAATATATAGCAATCATATCAATAAATTGGTACACCTTCAACAAAATAAAGCAAAGAAGGTTTGGTTTTTGTGAGCCATTTGGAGAATATCTATAACTTATTATCTAGGAGGCTTCAGTAAGGACTCTTGTACCAGTAGGTAGTAAACATGATCAGCATCCCCCTTCAGCCAATTTAACTTTTACAACCATCTCAGTAATTTCAGACATCGATCTAGAAAACAAAATGGCATTCCTTGTAGATGGAAAGCTAAGTTATTAAGTATCTACCTGAAGAAAGAAAACCTGAAAAGACATATAATGTAACTATCTCTTTTTTCTGAATATGCCCAATGGAAAATCAATTCTAATGAGTATAATCATAAAGTTCGCATTTTCAATGATTTGCATCAATTTCTCAAAGAATCTATGCTACAATACCAACTGTATTCAGGATACTTGAGAGATTAAATGTGATCACAGTCTTATCAAATAGATTTTGTTTTTCAAAAATTATAACTCAATTAATGAAGCCACAATTCAGCCTTAATGGAACTAAATTACTTGATGAAGTTGCAAGCTGCAAGAAATTCATGTATATTTGGATATTATTTTAAACAGACAGGAACAAATATACATGATAATAATGTTACAACTCATTGTCATTATTGATGCTTCTTATAATAAAAATTTGCAAACCTTTTTTTGTTAAAACTTACCATTCACTTTCACTTGAGCTACTGATGTTATTCGACCTACAAAGTTGGCTGCTGTACACTTGTATATTCCAGCATCTTCATGTTGGACACTGGTAATTGTAAGTGTCCCATCAGAGGAAATCTAAATAAAGGAAAAATAATATTTGCAACATATTTTTATACAATAATTATAATTAAATATACGATATTAGAAATTAATGATTAGAAAGATAAAAAAAAAAAAAAAATTTAAAAAAAAACCAACTGTGAGGAGGAAAATTTGCTACAACAGAAGGTTAAAAAAGTAGGAGATGGATAAATAAAAGGACTAATAGCATTGGTGTAGTAGAATAAAGAATTGATGAAAAGAGAAAATGAGGAAGAAAAATATAATGTGATAAAAAGAAACATCCAATTAGTGGAAAGATGTTGATATAAAATTTGAAATAAAAGTTAAAACTTGTTGGGAATTTTTTGATATGTAAGAAGGTATATGTATGAATGGTTGTAAATGTATGATGATAGTTTTGTTAAATGTTCAATGATGATGATGATAAAAGGAATTCATTATAAACAAAATTTATTGTTAATATTAAACAGAAATATATCAGTAAAAAAGTCTCATTTTCAAGACACTATTTTTTTGAAACAATCTTTATATTTTTCAAAGAAAACAATATTTTTATTAGAATCTCACCTGTACTCTGTCATTAGAGACAACAGGAATATCATCATGACTCCAGCTAATGTCAGGTTGGGGTTGACCACTTGCTGCACAGTATAATTTAATTGTTCCTCCCTGGTATATCTCTTGATCCAGAGGTGTCCGTCGAAAGTGAGGCTTTGCTGTAAGAACACATTACAATCAAGTAAAAGGTAATTGCCTTACATATTTGCTACTTTCATATTAGTTCATGTGTTGGTAGAAAGGGAATAGATAATCCAGGATGTAGAGAAGAAAATATTAACAAACTGTTTATATAAGAATCATAATTCAAGAAGAAAGAGAAGATGTAATATCTTTGTTTGCCTCTAAGAAACAAGCAACAAATTCAGTTTTAATCCTACAGTTTTCTAAAACAATTTCTTACCTCTCGTTTTCTGGTAATTCATTTTTGCCTGTCGTGATTTTACTTCTCCAGCAGGGTTCTTAGCCATACATTCATACACTCCAATGTCTGAATCAACTGCATTTTCAATCATTAAAGTTCCATCAGAGAGTTTAGAATAGCGGGGATCACCAAAATTAATTTCATTGCTGAAAAAGAAGAGATATTAGACAAAAATGTTATTAATACTGAATTATAATTATGAATTTTTCAATAAAAGTAGATTATAATAAAGCAAAATACATTACATAATGCTAGAAAGTGACTTACCTGTCCCTCATCCAAATGATGTCAGGTGCCGGATCTCCTTCTGCTTTGCAAGTGAAGAATACTGTGCCACCAAATGTCACTTCCACATCATGAGGATCTTCAGTAATTTTAGGTTTTCCTAAAACATTCCATAATATAACATGAAATAATAAAGTATGACAATGACTAAGGAACGGAAATTAGTCATAAAAAACAAAATATATACATACATATATTTAAAATATGTAAGAAAAAGAAGATATGTAAAATATAATTTCATTATTATGTTTAAAATTGCTCTATATAAGCATTTTAAGCATCTAACATCTCCCAGCCGATAATATCTTAATATGGATTCAGAATGCCTGAAAGAAAGTTCTTCCTCTACAGAAGTAATTGTACACTAGTCTTCACCATACACAAGAGTTTTATTCGAAATATAAAAAATGTCTGTGGTATATACAATATAGTTCATGAGAAGCCAGAGCTCATCTGAATAGTATTACTGTGTAGCCAGTGATAGATATCGAAGGGGGTGGTAAAACCCCCACTCCCCCAAATCCAACAACATGATAAAGACAATTGTTAAAAAATATTTGTAAGTTTTTCCAAGAAGTAGGGGCGGGGGAGGTAAGTTTGACCATTAATGGTGAAAATATAATGGTCATAGAAGCATATAATGATTTTTAAGAAAGATAATACCATTACATGTATTCCAAATGCTTAACCGAAATGTTCCATTTTGACGAATAGTAAGTGTAACAAATTAGACAGTATTAGATAAAATATGTAAGTTAAAAATTGTTCTCATTGATTCAGAATGACTTGTAAACTCTAAAAATTATTGAATGTCAATATTTTGTTTCAGTAAAAACATCTACGTACATGAAAACCCTTTAATAATACTGACCCCTGCTATTTAGATAGAGAAATTTTGTCATTTAGTATTAACAAACAAGTATGAAGCCCTGTGATATTCCTTCATTGATACCTATTGTCCGTTTTTCAATCAAAGTAATCAATTTCATGTTGTAGGAACATATGCAGGAGTATTTATTAAATCGTGAAAATTTTAAATAATCGGAAAAAGATTTGAGAATTGAATTTGATTAGATATTTTGTTTATTAACTCCTGATCGTTTTTATCTTATCTACAATAATTATACACTTTGTCATATATCATATTATCAAGAAATCTTTACTCTTGAGAATGGTCTACAGTCACAACACCTTATCTGCTCAAATGCATTAAATCAGTAAAGTTTATTGTTTTTTGAAGTACCGTATTTCCCCGAATGTAAGACGAGCGTTTTTTCGAAATATCTCAGTGGAAAAATGCGGGATCGTCTTATATTCGGGGATTAAGCCTTAGGATTAGCCTTGGCCTTAAGGCTAAGCCTTAGCCGTAGCTTTAGGTTAGGATTTAAGTTTTTACATTGCCATTCCATGTCACGGAGCTCTTAAATATTGACGTAACAATAAACTGCGAAGACAATGAAAATATCGTGCGTAACAATGCGGGATTCTGGAATTCAACACCACGTGATCTTCTCCCTCATACATCACATAGAGTTTTTACTGTTTTTTATTACTAAATAAATCTAAATTTACGGAATTAACGCGTTCGTAATTAAACGCGTTCGTTTTCTCGGCATTCATCGCAAATTTGTCGGGCAATTCAGACCGATATTTTTGAATGGACAGGTAAAGAGAGCCTCTAATCGAATGGCATTGTATCAAATGAAACGTAGCGTGAAAATGAATGCCGAAAGTTTGAACGATACGGGTTTGACGAGGCCGCGCGGAATCTCGGTTCGACGCCAGGCGAATACGAATTTGCGTTTTGAACAGAACAGAGGCCATCAACAAGTGCGGGATGGATAGAAAATCTGGTGACAGAAGGGAATGTTCTTAGACGATGTCTGATAAAGAGGGCATAAAAAGTCAGAAAATGTCACAGCATGGAAGGAGGACCAACAAGAAACAATGATACATGTGAAGATGATGAGGGTAGTGACAAAAACCATGATTATGATGATATTAAGGAACAAGAAAACATCTCATCAACAAGGCAACATTCTAGTCAATAAAACATTTTGTAATTTTATTAATTATATTCGGGTAAATACGGTGCATTCAACAGAAACTAAAGAACTCTTTTACTCTTTCAAGACAATATTTCTCTTCCAGAATAAAATGTTTGACGCTTCCTACCATGCTGTGATTAATTTTCCAATTCAATTCACACTGCAGAGGTTTAGATCTTTCCTGAGCAAGAGTTAATGTCTTTTGTATTGGTTGTTGTATGTTACTCATTTGAGCTGAATGAATTATTTAAAGAAAGTGAAAGAGTTAATTACTTTTGGCTCTATCCGCCGGCAGAAGAATGTTCAATAGAAAAATTGAAAACGAAAAATGTTCAATTGTCAGAATGTATTTGTAAAGTGAACTTGTGAATGCATTTATAAAATGATATGAGAGAATGTGCAAAATGAATTAAAATTAACATTCAGACATTTTTTCGGAATGCAATCTTCTCTTAAATGATCTACAAAATTATATGAATGTCGCTGATTGAGAAAATTAGATGAAGCAGCGGTATTAACTCTTGGTCCGGCCGGAAAAGTTAATTAATTGTCATTTCCTATTTAAAAAACCGATTAACTGTAGGAAATCGGATGAACAAGTAACTTCCTAAACATTGCAGGGCAAATAATTAGAATTATTTCCGTTTTTCATTGCTATTATTTTGTCAGCGTCGACAGCAAAATGTGAACTGATTTAAGCGATGCTAATATCATTTCAATGTGTGATTGGTAAAAGAGTCACAAAGTAATCACACACAGTAACAGAAAAGGGACACTTAATCCACAACGTTAAAATGCTTTTAAATAAATTACGAGAATTCATGATATTTAGCAAATGAGATAGAACGTTAACTAAAGTTACGTGTTTATGGTAGAGGTCAGATGAGGTTCAACATTAAGGAACTCCCTTGCGTTTGCATTTCCTGTAAGTGTAGTTCAAGAAATCGTTCCGTATTCTTTTGGTTTTCAATAACTGAATAAATTGATTACAATAAATGTAATCATTTTTTTCTTCAAAACGCACAGCATTCAACTTGTCCTTGCTCATGTCAAAATGTAAAATGGCCATCCACTTCAACGATTTTCGCAAATCGTGAAAATTAAATTGATATTATCCCGTTCTTTCGTTGTGACTCGTCGTCCTTTGTACCCCTCCGGATATAAGGGCCGTTTCTTTTCAACTTCTGTTCGAGCCTTTAAACCGCTTGAGAAGCAGGAGGATTTTGGGGATGTGCAGTGGGTGTCTGCGCATATTTTTACCATACATCTGCCAAAACCGACGCCATGTCGCCAGTTGGAGCTGAACTGTAGGCACGTGAAGAAGAGCGACACGATTTCCCCTCCCACCATGTGCGAGCTGTGTAGTGATATTCGCTTTACTTACGAAGAAGGGAATAATGCAGCAGATATTAATAAAAGCATGAACTGAGTACACGGTGTAAACCTTCAAACGAATGAGGAATGCTGACTTGAGGAGATGTCCTCATTCAAGGCAACGCCGACCCTCACAGTGCTGCTGTAACCAAACAACAACTGAGGCATATTGTGTTGTTATTGATTATTCGGCGTATAGCCCGACTTAGTGGCGAGTGATTTTAAACTCTTCCTCAAATTGGAGAAATGACTGGAAGGCTAAAACTTTCAGACCAAAGAAGAGCTTCAAAGTAAAGTTCACGCACCCTTCTTACATCAGTAGCGGAACGATTGTCGAAGAGGGGATCGACAAGTTTGTTCACAGATAAGACCAATACCTGAATCTTCACGGCGATTAAGTAGAACAGTAATCATGTTAGTACATAACTTTTGGTAATACTTTTTTCTTTACACTTGTCTTTTTGTTATAGTCCATCCGAGACTGAAAAAAAGACGGCCTTCATTTTATGATTTCACTAGCCCCCTCCTCGGGGAATGTTCTACTTTCCCCGCCTTCGACACTTGAATAATGTCGTATTTTTTTGTTTCATCATTAAAACCAAGATATTTCAGTTGGTCATTAAAACCACGAAAATACATTACCACTGAAATATAGCCTAAAATAAACACGTTTTTCTCAGATGTCACTTACATCGTTCTGGTTTTCACCCATTTATATTTGGTCAAAATTCAATTAATATTATTAAACGATGAGTCATGGTAACAATATAAACTAAATTAAAAAATGCATCTGACGATAATACTAGAGCTTCTGCACAGCGTGGTATTAGAAAGATAGATTAAACCATAGATAGGTATTAGAAAGAAGTGAAGAAGCTATATGCAAACATGTAGCCATTTAGCATTTCAAACACTTACTGTGTTTTGCACAATAGTTTTGCATCTACGATTTTATCTTGATGTAATAAAAACACAGTTTATGTTTATGGACACTTTCCCGAAAGGTAACGGCAGAACGTAGCCTACTGCTATCGTTAAAATACAGGAACGGCACATCCTATTGGTCCGCGCTTATTTCGTTTCGAATATCTTTGTTCAAGCGACTCGTTTTGCGATACCGGAACATTTTTGCTGTAATGAGTAGAAACTTCCGTGTGAACTCCCTACAACGAACTTCCTCATAATGGGATGGAGTAGAGTTTTCCGCTAAAACTCTAAACGTAACGGAGTTCGCGTTTGCACAGAGGCTTAAACGTCGGTTCATGTCATACGTATTTTGGAAATGTATTTAAATTCATAAAATTGGTGTATTTAAATAATAAATACTTAAAATACTTCAAATACAGATAAGAAGAAGAAGACGACGAGGATATTTTTTTTGTTCGATTCTGTCTGTGAATGCACCTCATTCTAACAAAAAAAGGAAAGCTTCTTTCAGCTACTGAATTTCAATTCTCTTCATTTTTAACGATACGTCTAAATCATTAAAAATACTGGAACATGATCCTTTAATTTAAAAAAAATGTTTATTCATTGTAATACGAGTTTATAGTTCATCCGCACCAGTGGAACGACAGTTTTCCTTTACGGGTTTTAAGCGTTCACCAACAAGCGGTTTATTGCCTAGTAATGTGTTTGAAAAGTTAGTTGTTTAAAAGGAAAATCCCGTTTATATGAGTTAGACATGTTTTTTATATTGTTTTATATTTGAAAGTGCTTATACAAGCACGTGTATTATAGTTAGCCATTGTTCAGAAATTTGTATGACTGAAAATAACCAATTTATTGTTATTGACAATTACAATATATTATTGCAATAAAAATATATAATACAAAATTATTATATTTACAGTATTTTTAGTATTTGAAGTATTTTAAATATGTATGTATTTAGCAAATCAAAACTTAATGTACATTTATTATGTATTTAAATACGTATTTACAAATTATTTTGGCAAAGCATTTAAATACTAAATTTAAAGTAGTTTGCCCAACCCTGCCTGGCGCACGTGACTCCCTCCAAGAACATCGCGTCCCCGTGCACCCTCGCGCGCTGCGCCATCGCGTACTCACTGCAGTGGAAGTCGCTCTCGGTCATGGTGGCGAGGTTCTTGCCCTGCATGTTGGCCGGCGACTGGCAGGTGGCGGCCGCCTGCGTCTTCTGCAGCTTGTCCCGCAGCATCTTCACCAGCCACATCATCTCGCAGTCGCACACGAGCGCGTTGCTGTCCAAGCGCCTGCGCACCCGAGACCAAGATCGAAGCTCCCGTCACGTTTGGTGGTGTAGTGCATGTAAGTGTGGGGTGTGTGTAAAGGGTGATGTTAGGACAAGAAAGAGGAAAGATAGATCGCTTGCGGTTCGAGTTCCGTTTATTACGCCACTGCTTCGGCATCCACCGGGAGAAAACACGGAAATTCGTCGATCAGAGCAGACGGTCGCTAGAACTCTCCTTCAGACTGCGTCTCTAGTCAATCTATCTATTTAACTAGAGTTGAAAATCCGGCCACCGCCGGGGCTCGAACCCCAGTACCCCTCAGACACATGCCAAGCAGTAGCATCGATTAATGCCCTGAGCTACCTAAGCCAGTCACTAGCCTGCACAGTCTGTAATGGATGTCAATACAAGACAAATCTAGTCTTACCACCGAGATCCGTTGTATGTGGTGCGTCTATGGGCAAGAGGGTGTGCAGATACAGGCTGACAGTTTTTCTGACTACAATTAATAGAATTGAAGCGGAGTTTTGTCGTTTTACTTAACAAGGAATTCACATTTACTTTCTCACGAAGTGAAAAACCAAGAGCAACGTATCACTTTAAGAATATGCTGACATCATCAACTTTCCTAAAATTATAGAGCATTTGTCAGGGTAGTGTCTCTTTTGTCTGGAGAAAAAAAAGAAAGAAAGAAAGAGGAAGAAGGTTTGCAAGTGAAACGAATTACTCCGTTATAACCCGATTGTGTCTTATTTTTGTACGGGAGATCGCGATCTGGAACCTGATAGATATCGTGGAATTTTGAGGGAGAAAAAATCCTTCAAACCCCTTCCTGTGGGAGAGAAGTAAAGCCACTTGTTCTATATCGCAGATCAGCGGCATGCAAGAAAACTTCCAGCTTTCAGACTCAGTGCGTCTATGAGCTACATTGATAAAGATCGTTTGATCCGCCGTTTGATCAATTCAGATAAATCTCTCACCAAGTGTTTATGCCGGGATTGGCTTGTCTTATCACCACATGTCCGAACATCTGAACATCTGTTCATTCATAATCAATTATCTATAATCATCAACCTACCCCTTTCGCCTCTTCAAGATCATTTTAACTCATTATTCTTCCTATAGTGGAGAGCGACGGCAAATGGTGATCTGCCCATGAAAGGGGAATGCGTAAAGGAGTATGCCTTCTCCCTCGCCTAGGGTCAGTTGTGATATCGCACTCAACAACGACTTTACTGATCATTGATAAGTAATTTTTCAATTAATTTACACTCATTTTGCGAATTATGCTATTGGAAACCGTGAAACAAATCAATACAGCACTTTTCCAAACCGTGAATTAAAAGTAAAGGGATTTTTACAAATGAAGTAAAAATTGACTTGATGATTACAAAAATCAAGCAACCAAGATCTTTCATGACAACATGATTTTTTCAAACATTGATAAACATGATTTTTCATTTCGCAATTCAATGACGGATGATGTAAAAAATGTTTTAAGAGGCGTAGTCCGACTTTCTACACCGCCAAATATTTCCGCCCAAGGTTGGTAAACTTCGAACTTGTGAAAGAAATGATTCAGAAGCAATCCCCCAGTGGCTTACCAAAGTCGCAAAATTAATACCTTCGAGACCAGTTAATTCTGCAGCTCCAAGTATAATCTGCAATTAGTTGAGAAGAGGGGAATTATAATTAATTTTAGAGAAGACAGGAAAGAAACTTAATTGCAATTCGTCGGTACAAGACGCCGACCCAAGAGAAGTAATTAAAATACACCCCCGAGGACCGCAGATTGACAGGGGGTGGTTGCCAGCCTCCGAACGGAAACTTTGCTGTTCCACTGCCAGTGAGAACTCGGGTATCTGGGGGCCCATTTTTAGAAATATCGCCAGAACTTGAATTTTCCACATTTCGAATGGAGATTGCATCTTATTCACTTGTTTCCAAGTGTGTTTTATATTTATGGCGATGATTGTACAATACGGTTTGTTGTTGTGTCTGGTTTTTGTATTGTTTCTATAGCGTTATGCTAGTAGGCCTTGTCTGGTTCACGTTACACGTTTATTCTATTATTTAAAGTAGGACAAATACAATATTAATTCTGAAGTGGTTGGAATTCAAAGAGTTCTGAAATTGTTCTTCTATGAAATACAAGAAATGTTATGAATCATGTGAAGATACTTGTTTATTATCCGACGTTGCCCCGGTACTGAATTGGCGCAATCATCTATTAAGTAGCGTGCCGACCTGGATGGCCGAGATGGCTAAGTGGAAGGGTCGCGTATTCGACTCTCGCCTTACGCATGGTTGTTTGTACCTTGTCTCCCGTGTATGAGTGTTGTCGCGGAAGGCCTTGCGAGTTATCTGACCACCGACATATGAGTGTGTCTAGAGTAAAGGTTAATAAGTGTCCTCATGAGGGACATGGTGGGTACCCGGCGCGAATAGTCAAAAGAGACATTCCTTGAAGAAGAGGAATTTTGACTAGGAACCCCAGGAAGAGAAAAAATATCCATTAAGTAGCGTCGCCTCGCCCGTCAGCCCCGCAGTCTATCCATCCTATCACTGTCCTGTTCACACATCCCGTCTCCTCGTCCATCCACCCCGTTTTACTCTGTTCAGGCAGCGAAATAGTCACAGAAAAGTTGGGAGATCATTTTAATAGAAGCTGCAACGAAACATCACCTCTTCTATCATTAGTTTTTTGTCAGACAAGAGTGTTCTGGAAAAGAGACGACATATAATTGACGAAGATTGTTACTTGGAGAAAGAATTAACGAGTACTGAAGAAATTGTACCTCTGTCCAAACGAAATTAAACTCTTCCTTACGAATTTCGTGGTTTTTACTCAGCTTTCTGCATTAGCTTGTGATGACAATGCAAGCCTGTGGCGTCGCTGGCGGATTCTCCGAATTATGACAATGCCACATGGTTCGAACGAAGAGCTGCCCAGGAGCTAATGCGATCTTTCGGTGACGCTCCGAACTAATAGAAAGCAGCTGACAATCGACGTCAAGGAACTTTGTACGAAAGAAATGAGTGTTTGATCAACAGAGAAGAAATTGGCGCGGCCATTTGGGGGAAAATCTCCGGAGCGCTAAGTTTGAAATGTATAATACTTGCCTCTAAAACGCCTTCAAAGAACATCAAAATGCCCTGTTAAAAAAACAAGGCGCCAAATTGGAAGTAATTTGGCGGTCAATGTGCCAACATACTCTATGTGATCCTCTCATCATGCTCCTTCCATCTCTCCAGGCTCCGCTTGCATCTTCCGCTGTCTCCGCTACAGTCTACCGCTATTCAGTGCTCTCAGCCCGCTTTTCCATTCCACCTCTTTTCTAATATTTCGCTCCTTCCCTTTCCGTAGCTTCTCCAGCTCCTTTCCCTTCTTCCTCTCATTCTGCTCCGCCTACTTCACGCCCTCCTTCCTCCCCACGTGCTCTGCTCGCTCCTTCCGGATCCCCCAGCCCCTCCTGTTCTGCCCGCTCGGCCCCGCCCCGCGTCATCTTATATCGCCCGGCTACAATACCGCCCAAATGCATTGGCGATAAAATTTAACTTGAACATTTTTGGGTAGCATTTTGAATCACAAATCAAATATATTTTTTTATTCTAGACCGCTGAAAAGTATTCGTGCCAAATTTGGGAGCAATTCCTCCATTGATACTAAATTTTCCTCTGTTAGGGGAAGGGATTCAGGTATTGAACAAGGTCCATCTCGAAGGTGTAGGAAGGACATCTGTCGAAACCGATAGTTAGTATTGTCTGATGTTCAACTCTCCGAAAACTCTAAATGCTCTATACAATACTTTTAGATAACCATCAAAAGAAGAAATTCAAAATTATTTTTTGTGATTTAAATTATTATTAATTTTGTTCATAAAACACATGTTTTTTTCTATAAATTAAAATAATCTTTCCATGTATTATTTTATATATTGATGATAAATTGTATTCTAATAATAAAAATCGTATTTTGATTAAAATGTAAATTAACTAAATAAATTAATTATATAATTTAAAAAGTAAACTATTTACGTAAACTAAATACGAAATACATTAACGTAGTGTTACTTTTTAAATTAACATAACTGCTTTATAAAAGGAAAATTACATGTTTTTCATCATTGCCTTTTGAAATACATACACAAAAGAATTATTCTCTCCTGAGACTTCTTTAGATTTTTTACCAATCGTGTGAGAAATAAAGAAATCAAAAATAATTAAATATAATGATCTGGAGAGAATGTGCCAAAATCCTGAGGAAAAGTGAAGTAAACTTGATCAACATTATTTATTTATTATAAGTTTTATATCAAGTGCTTATTATAAAAAGTATATAAATAGATCATCTTAGTAAAAGGAGTAGGGCTAAGGATTGTGGAGTTACAAACACCGCTTGTCATACTCACAGCCGCTTGAGTGTCTCCAGATTCTTGAACGCGCCCACCGGGATCCGCTGAAGCTTGTTGTTGTGAAGGAACCTGCAACCGACGCGAGGGGGTTTTCCGAACGCGCTCGCGCCTAGAGGCGAGCGCGCTCTGGCTGCAAGCGTGCAATAAACACGCTCTCACCCCAACGCACATTCGCACACCCACACACATACACACGATACTCAAGCGCAACGCACTTCGTGAAGCACGGAACAATGAAAACGCAGTCCAACCTACACGCTCAAGTCTACTGAGAAATTTGTCGTGCACAAAAAAGGGAAACACACAGCTAGCTACGAATTTATGCAGCCGGACAACAAATTAAGGCAGAATATATTATAAGTTTCCACAAAGGCCGAACTACACTACGCATTCGGAGCCACAATGTAGTACGTATAATCAAGAGCAGGGGGTGGGGGTTGAAAGTAATTACCTAGTTTTGCAATCCACGTATCACAAATAATTAAACAGACTAAATTACAGTGCATTAATAAATGAAATGTCTTTTCTCAAAGCGCAAGAGAAGAGGGGAGGGGAAATCGTTAGTCTAATTGCTCCGAGCAAAAGCAAACTTTCTTTCCAGTGAAAAAAAAAAATTGCAAATGAGGGGCAGAACCGAGAATGTCTGTCTGCTGCATGCCATAATACGTAATGAGGGATCTATGCACAGAACAAAACTCTTATGGGCTCGTCAGGCACTAAATCTACGTCTAGGACACACACAAGTTTGGGGAACTATTCATGACATTGAGCTAGTTTCGTTGATCCATTATCTAGATGAAATAATATTTGTATTGAAAAAAATGTATACGAAACAGCTGCAATGTATTGAGTGGTTCCACAAACAAAACTTGAACATACATTTCGAACTCTCTGAAACATTGTATGTGAGTGGGAGATAGTCCATACACCCAAGTTAAAGTGGAAATAATAATATGAAAAAACAGGGATATTAATAAGAGATGAAATGGCCTAATAAAACCACCCTTCCTTCAAAAATAACACGGGATTATGGGCAGCGGTATTATTTATTAACAGGATCTCTCTTTACGATCTCATTTATTTTTCATGGATGACCGTAAAAGCCCGAAAGTTTGAAAGCGCTCACTGAAACATCATTAAGTCAGGATTTTGGCCCGAGTCGAGGCCAAGAGAAAAGATGGACGAGTCGCGAACTTAAAGTTGGTGGACGCGGGAAAGAACTGGTCGTTTGCAGTAATACGTAGGTCTTTTGTGAGATCGCTTACCTTCCCTGCACGCATTTAAAATTGTGCCCTTGAAAAAACATGATACCTCCGAACCTCATGAAATGAAGCTCTCGTTAAGCTGATTGTATGAATGTGCTGTCAGTTACACGTAAATGTTGCTAAAACATTCGAAATCTCAGATGACTTTAATTTCCAATAATGGAACCACCTGATAATATAATTCTTCCGAATGTTATCTAACTTAACCAAATGCATTATGGTAATTTGTAGATTTAAATATTGCTTGCGATAAATCAAATTAATGTCCGTGTTTGAAGATCATTTGATACTTTTGTGATTCAACTTATTCAATAAAACATGATTCTCTCGGATACCACACTAATATAAACGCAAAATTTTCATCAATTGAATTTTTGGAAATTATTTTCGTTTGATCATTGATATTTCTGATAAATTAATCGATATAGATAAATATATACACGTGTATTCATTTACAGAAAACAACTAACTAGTTTCTGGCTCAGTAAATGAAAACAAAAGCAACTATATCGCATCCATATTTGCATCTAATTGCAAAACCTATAATTTTTGTCAAAGAAAGGCTGATTTAGATTCGTAACCAAGTAAATATATGAAAATACACACTATTTGGACTTAAAATACTAGAAATATTTCAGAAATGTATACTGAATGTACAGTTTTAGTTATAGTACAGTTTTCAACTAAATAGTATTGATTTTTATTCAAATTCAAACCACACAGTAATAATTAAAGTTATAAAAAACCCACATGATGAATTGCATCGCATTAGACTTAATTGCAATTTCGATCAAAAAGCACATGATAATGAACATTAATTATTTTCAACTTAGAAAAATGTTTGAAACCGATAAAAAAATCATCTGAGGACTCTGAAGCCCTCCTCCTTGGTAACGCTAGGGTTAAATTCAGAAAAGGGACTCGCATACGTTTGTGAACTACTGTAGAGAAGTAGCAGTATAGAGAGCTACAGCATTTCCCTTTCACAACATTACTTTTTTATTCTACATTTTTATTACCTATGTTCGGGTTTGTTAGTCCTTCGATAAAATCAGATTTTGATATATTTATTCAACTCGCATTTACAAAGGTTACGTTTTTTAAGTGGAGTAGACTGACCGACGGAGACAGTTTTGATTTGCTACCTTCGAAGAGCCAATTTTTTTTACATTGCTAACGAAAATATTAATTTTTTTGTTTCTTGTGAATTCAATTTTTTATTTTATGCTTTGTAAATTTCTTAAGAAAATTTTCCACAAACTTCGATCTAATTTTCATTTTTTAACAGATGCATATTTTCGAAGTGTAATTGAAAGGATTCTGTAAAGGAATTTCTGAATATCGTTTCACATTATAATAAATCATTCAATATGGATTCTTAATGGATTATGTATTAACTAATTGAACCAAAAATCTGTACACATAAAAACGAAGCTCATTCTTTGTAAAGTCATCCCAAGATCTACATTCACTCATGATATTTAACTTTTTTTCTTAATATTTTTGAAAGAGAAAAACACTTATAACATCTCCGTTCTTTCGCATAAATACTTCTCTTGGTCAACTTTTTAGAGACCTTTACCCTCTGTAGAGAGTACAAAAGTTGGGGAGAACTTTTTTCATTAATAAGAAATAGAAGTTACTCAGTACCTTGGGATTATGACTAGGCAGGCATTAAGCTAATAGGTAGTGTTTGAGGACAGAGCCCATAAAAGTAATTTAATTAGCGTACGATACGGAGGAAGGAATATCCCCCCAAATTACGATAATGCCCCTTTTCTCGAGGGAGCAGTGTTTTCTGGAGAGGTTCCAGAAACAAAAGACGCTCGATTTCAGAATGGTTGCACTCAGGCGTTGACTGCACATCGAAATACTCTCCACATCGAAAGGAAGCCAATACTGCAAGTGGAATTTAAAAAAAGATATGCAAAAATAGCCATATATGATATATCGTTGCAATGTGTGACTATATATGTTTTAAATCTAGCGTAAGAAAATACATAAACATGTCTTCCTTCTTCATTACTTCAGCGCAAATACGAGATTGGAAGACTACTCTTACTGTTCTTATACATCTAAATCGATCATTATTTTATCATTTTAGCATACAGATTGATTATCTTTATTATGACATACTGATGTAAAGAACAGTATTATTACGTTTTCAAAAACACGACACACATAGATTACATTAAAATTTAATTCTAGGTAAAAATTAATAAATATCTTCCCTAAATATGAAAGAATCTGAATTTACAAAAATAATAGATAAAGAGGATTAAAAACACGCAAACTCTTCTAATTATTTGTTAATATATTAACTTCAATGCAAGTAACATACCCGTCTATAAGTCATAAAACTCATACACTAATTTGTAGATATATCACACATATGTTTCTTTGATTTCGTTTTGTACCGAAGACGAATGCTAATTTAATACTTGTACAGAAAAACATACTTGAACAGAAAAATGAAGATTTTTCGCTGCAAAATGCTCTTCAATTAATGAACAAAAGTAATATTTCGATCATTTAATTGTTCACACGTTCATTTCGAAATAGCTCACTGAATAGTAATACTAATACTCACTGCCCATAATCCATTTTAAATTTCGGCGAGTTCTTGCTAACTACCAGACAGAGAGCGTGCAACTGAGGCCCTTTTCCCAGGAGTAAACACAAAAGAACCAACACAAACAAGAACTGCTGCCCAACAGGGAATGATTAAGTCATTGACTTGCAGGGCTTCTAGAGTACTTTCCACTTTACTTACAGCCGTTCAAGCCTCCTTAAATCGCTAAAAACACCTGGCCCTAACTTTTCAATCTTGTTGAAATGGAGGTATCTGAAAATTGGTGTAACATAGAAACAATTCTGAATTAGCCAAAAAATTGTTACATATTCAACGTATCTCGCCACCACACACAGAGTATCAATCTCTCTTTCTCACGGCCTCGAGCACACTTAGCACTATGGACAAAGACATTTGTTAGTAGAGTACCAGCACCCATGGCATCCATTGTGTCGATATTTGAAAATTCAATCAAATTCAGACAGATTTCAAGAATACTTCCCATAAATACAAGAATGATTTGAAATTGTGGAATAGATTTTGAGAAATGTTTACTAGACTTTTGTGTATAACAATTTCAAATTTTGAAATTGGTACGTATAACTATAGTAATTAATCTAGTGAAGTTATTATTTTAATGTTAATTTACTCAACTCATTGGTTTTATTAATAAAAGTACTTTAGAAATAATTGATATCGTGACTACAGCCTGAGAAGAAACTGTTTAAAATTATGGTTTGCTAATGTTGCAATTTCCAAAGTCATATCCACAATATTCTAGATAAAAACTACGGATGTTTTCGGAATATTGCGTAGTAAGTATTTACGAGTATATGTTGGAACGTGAAATCCAAGAAAATTTCAATAGGTCATTCAATTCTGTTTATGGAAAAATCAGATCCTACATCCTTTTCTTCTTAAATTTACATTTGTCCGTGTGGTATAGGATTTTGTGGGAAGAACGAAAGGGAAAGATCATGACGGCTACGTTCTATTAAGAAACTGTGTTGGTTTAGACTTTATGATCTATTTTCAAGAAGAGTGTGAAGTGTAATTTAGGAACGTGATACAAAGACGACATAATATTATAATGGAGACATATGGATGGTGGAAGTAATATTTCCGCCAGTCCTTTTTTACTGAATCTAAGAAATGAACTAAGTGTGTAAATGATTATTTGAAGTACCAACCTGACTCAACAGGACCAGAAACCTCAAGTCATTTAATTGAAAAGTCAACTTGATATGAATTCATCAGGTAAGGTGAATCGGCATACGAAAGTTTAATTATATAGACTAATGGCTTGTGAGATAATTAATTTGAATAGGAAGCAAGGATTAAAACCAAAAACATTAAAAACCCTATCAATAGATATAGATACTTATTTTCTAAATTCTGGGGCACGTCATTTCAGATAAAAAAATGCAAACTAAAGAGTTAATAATATTATAAACGAATAACTTCTTTCACAGGTTTTGGTCTCAGAATTCCTGAACAAAGTGTTTTTTTGTAATTTTTAGAATTCGTCGCCACCTGTGCACCGCAACTTTATGCTGCATTTATTTTAAGATATATCACCGCAATCAAAAAGTCTAAAGTCTAAAAGAGCTATGACGCGTCATTTAGTCTGTGATTCATAAGTGGCTGCACTGCTGGGAAATGCTTTAAGCGGAATGTTAGATTGTTCCCTCCAGTTTATGGAATGGAATCTGTAACCGTCGCGGTTAGAATTTGTCGCGATATCCCAACTAATCTAACAATAATCGACTAATAAGACGCGGGATCGAGACCTCAAGACGAGTATCGAGTCTCAGCACGGAGATTTACATCACATCAGCATAAGCCTCTCAGCTTTAAAAGCCTCGCAAGACCTCCAGGATTACTCCATTCACCGACTAACGTAAATGAAATTACTACTAGGAGAGGTGCAAAGAAATTCAACGCAAATAAAAGACTCACCTACAGACCACGGGGAAAAAAATCTCGTACCGAGAAGTAATGACATGCAGAAGACAAATCGGAGGCAGGGGTGCCAACTTGGAGAAAGTCTTATCGATCACAAGCCGTCGACAAGACCGCACGGAAAGAAACTTCCGCAGGTCGCGGTTTCGTCTCAGCTACTGCGGAGGAAATAATGAAGACGAAGATTCTGCTCTGGCGGTATGATATCTTCGCAGGGAAGGGAAATAAAATCATGAATTGTTGTCGCAAAGAACGTCGTGAGGAAGAAAAGGAGATCCAAGAAGGATGTAACTCAAGAGAGAGAAAAAAATCGCCCACGGAAGATCGCAGGAAGTAAAGAAATCGAAAAAAAAAGGCGAAAAAAAAGTATCGAGGTGACAATGAGAACCGTCGCGAGAACCTCGCTTGCAAAGGGACGTCATCATTTTGCATTCTCGCGAGCCGTCCCAGACCCTACTCGGAGTCGCACAGTGATCCAGAATAAGTTACAGCCATGATGGAAATATATGAGTGAGCTATTGCGCATCGTATCCGACTTCAGCCAGTGAGCTTCAGGCACCAGTTTGCGTCAAAATACGAGCGGAAATTTGAAATGCAGCCAGATACCAAAATTATCACCTTGTTATAAGTTATTGAAATAGATATACGAGACATATTTTTAAATATTGCATATTTTATTTCAACTACACATTCATCGTGTTACTTCTTTCTCATTTATCGCTTCATGCCTCTTTCAAAGTGTTTCTCAACACTTCTCGCTCTTCATGCAACCTAAAGGCTCGGGTCTGGTCTGGTTTTTCAAACGAGGTGCTCGCATTGTGGTCACGTAGTTCGTGACGTAGGATGGTGCTGCTCAGAACGAGCAAAATTTGGTGCGACGGACTAGCTCACCCATAATACGAGTATCTGTATTTCAATCCTGGTTACAACTGTAATGCACTACTTGCCAACTTTAAATCTGACAATGGAAGAAAAAGGAACTATTAGGAACTAAAGGAATTGTTATTTAGATCATCGCCCTCTAGTCTCTCGAAACTCATTTACCTCGATACGCGCCGAGGACGCAACTACACAAGAAACAAATAGCGTTACTTTTGTTTTGAAAGCACACGTAGGAAAACACACACGATCTCTTAGACACGGCCCACATTATCATTATTTATTAATTTTATTGAGAAGGTATAGGAGAAAGTAGAAATACGCCCATGAATTTTGAGAGTTTGAGCGACGAATCAAGTACGTAATAAAGATCCTATTAATTGCAACAAATATAAATGTAGTTACTATCTGTTTTCTTACACAAATGTCTAGAACAACTAAAATATTTGTTCGCATTTTTAACAATTGAAAATTACAATAGTAGAGTCAGTAATAAAATCAACCTAATAAACCACTTTTTCGAACCTTTTGTTCATATTTTTTGTCTATATAATTGATACAGTTGATTTACGCGCTAGTACGTAATTGTGTTACGAATATTCGGTATGTTGTATATACTAGAAAAAAGTTAAGGGGGTTGATGACGCAAATCTTTTTTTAAGGGGTCGATGTAAAGAAAGTTTTGTTTTAGACCATTCATTTGTTTTCGTGAACCGGACCACTGTGCGGCGGGGGATTTCCGTCCACGAAAGGCGGGGTGCGGGAGGGGGCCGAAGAGAGGGAGAATCTTCGAGCAAGGGGCGCGCCACCCCCGCTGCAGACCTCTCTGTGAGCACGCCTGCAGCGAAAAGCCTTCCGAGGAAGGAAGAAAGCGAAAAAAAAGAAAAAAAAAGAAAAAAAACGCAGACCGCATAATGTGAGCGGCGGTGCGAAAACGCAATCAGAACCGGGGATTGTTTTTGAGGCGGCGATAAGGGTGGTGAGACAAGAGGGAGAGGTGAACGAGATTTTATAACGCGGATGTGTGTGTGTGTGTGTGTGTGTGTGTGTGTGTGTGTGTGTGCGTGGCGCATACAGACGGTATCCGAGTCGCGATAAAAACCAAAGGATTCCTGATAACTCCATACGTATGCGAACACAATTTGATAGCAGGGGACTAAGATACGTGTGGGCAAATTTGAACTGAAGTGGAATTCAATGTTTAATGATAACGGTGGAGAGCCAAGAGGGAAATGGGAGAAGACTATTAGGTAGATTCCTGCTTCCGATAAAAAAATCGATGTTTCGTGAAGTCCTTGTTCGTACACGATCTTGAAAAAACTTCTCTAAAGAACTGGTCTATGATGAGAACGGTCAGATAAGATCTACATTTGAAATAAAATCAACACATAATTCTATCAGCACACTTGACCGTGAATTTCCGTCTTTACACATTTCAAATTGCTTTATTTGCAAACAAATTATTTACAATGATTCTAACTGATAAGCCCTAACTTTTTCCGGAATTTATAATTCGTGTCATGGTAGATGATGCAACGCATTATAATTAGTGCAACTGATACTAACGTTTCTGTCTCATCTATTCTTGCAAGAGGGTCATTCGACACAAGGGATGCCAAGAGCGCTCGTAATTTGACTGCATTCCCGTCCTCGGGACGGCCGTCCAGCTACTTACAATCGCTCTAGTGAGGGTAAATGAGTAAAAGTATCAGGCGCTATGTCGTCGAGCTCATTAAAGTGCAGATACCTGTAAGCAAATAAGAACAAAACAGAAAACATACAGCACACGTGAATGGTACAAACTACACTTTCTCATATGTTCCTGCGAACAAATTCAGCTGCTGAAAGAGGAAATGTTATTATTCACAATAGTTTCATTTGCGTGGTATCGATTCTTTGGCAAAAATGCATTAATTTATTTCCCTCCCCCTCACTGATACACATGTATTCATTTTTGAGATAGAACGCTTTTTAGTTATTATATTTTTAATATGTCATTTAAAAAAATATATTTCGTTAATAAAAATGTAATATCAAGACCTTTATTGTCAAATGCTGATGAGTACACTATACTGCTTGATTAAATGTGATTCAAACTGATAAACACGAAAATAATTTCAAAACATTCTAAACCGTCGCAAACCCCACACTCCATCAAGGTATATTTTCTTTCGTATTAATTATTTAAGTGATTGTAAACTAAAATTTAATCTTCGCCCTTGAAGGGAACGAGTAATACCTATCGTCGTTTAGCTGCATGTCTGGCCCATCACATCACATACTTCTCAAACTTTTATATAAACCTTATGCAAATACCATCAATACCCGAATCCACGCTGTGCAGAAACCCAATCCATAATACTAGAATTAAAAAAACAAATGTCCGACCATCCATCCTCTTGAGATGTAACAAAAAAAAATTTTAAAAGAGCTCCTCGTCCCAGCCCTGCCTCCTTGCGTCGTCCTTGAGCCTCGGCGTCGCCCGCCCAGGCCGCGGCGTCGCGACGCCCAACGCCGCCGGGCGCCGGGCCGCCGCTGACCGTATACGGCGCGCGCCGCGCTCTTCAGCTGTTAGTGTCAACATTCGTCAGCGCGTAATTACACGGGGGCGGCGCCGCGCCGTGACGATAAATAATTGAACGTCGCGCGGCGCCCGCCTCCGCCGCCCTCTTCCCGCCTCGTTCCCCCCTTAGGCGACACCTCGCGCCGTCCGTGACCGCCGAAGCTGCCTACTGTGCGGAGCTCGTAGGTGAATGGAAGATTCACACTTACTGAATCTGGGCAAATATTTTTTAACGCAACTTGTACACCTTAGGCCATACGTATGTAAAAGGAAGGAGATGTAGCGTGAAGCGATAAATGCAAGGTGTAATGATGTTATGGAGCAGCTGTTTGAAAAACCGTTGTAAAAGTTAATATCAAAATGTCAAAACAACTACTACTCGAATTTGTACACAATTATATAATGAAGTATTTGCATAATCCTATTTCATTTAATTTGAAGAGAATTTAAAATATTTTTAAACTTTTTGAAGTAACACTAAATATATTCAGAATATATATAATAAAGAAGAGTAAGTTTATAAAAATAAAGGAAAAATAAGCAATAGTCAGAGACTGTCAATTCTAGTGACTTGACCATTTGAAAACACTTTATATATTGTCTTGAATTAATACATCTTGATCTGTTTTTCAATTATTAACCTCATTTAATGTTAAGGAGGCAAATAACAATTGTTCTCGAATTCTCCAAAGACCATTGAATCTCGAAATCTTCTTCCATAAGAAAATTGTTATTAATATTAATAATAGATTAATAATATGGGGTAATGTAAAGTACCGCTTTCAGATCATTCCACTCTAGTCTGAATGAACAACTCACTTCTATACGACTCACGTCGACAAATTTCCATAAATTAATCGTAATAACCAAGAAAATCTGATTAGGTCCACTTAGAACACAAAAGGAAATGATTATTACTGTTTTCTTGGTTTATGTGTTAGGTTTAACAATTCCGCCGTGGATCTGGACTAAATGAGAACGAGAAGTACTTAATAATTATATCGTAATGAGTTATTGCTCAATTTCTCCACTTTGGATATTGTTCTAAAAACAATTAAAGTTAGATTGAATATTTGGAAACCCAAACGCTTTCGGTGAATCAGGAACCAGACCATTTCCAAGATAATCACTAACTGCTGAACGTCATTGGCTGTCTATAAATAGCATACGCACTCCTCAGTAACATCATCTAACCTCTCATCGAGAATGTCACATCGTGATTTACTATAACACTCTAATTCTAATAGGACGTGGAGAATAATAGAACAACTTGTATCTTAAAAACTCGTGTGACAGTTCATTAATTGGTGATCTCAAGGGCAAAAATTTAATATCTGTCAGTGACATATAGTAATGAACTTTAAAACATATGGTGCCCACTGATGTAATTTACTAAAACGGAAATTAAAAATTCTGCACCGAGAAAGAAAGAAAAAAATGTACGACGAGATTCTATACAAATCTTAATGTTTGAATTTTGGCACATCGTGAAATAGAAAAGATTTTGCTCTATTGTATAGGTAAAAGTAAGTTATATGTTACTATTATAATTCTTGAAGCACAAAGAAATATTTTTTCTTCACATTAATTGAGCAGTCTTTTGATCAGCAAATTGTGTTCCCAATGTGCTTCTAGAAAGTTTATATCCAGTAACAATTATTTTTGGGTAACCCCCTTTTTAGTCATTATTGTTAGGCATTTGAACAACACAGTTATTCATTCAAATAAATATGTATCTGGCTACTTGTTGACAATAGATATACCCCCAAAAAATCGGTAGAAAGAAACTTATTTGTTGTATGAATCCATCAGTTGATTAACATTTTGTCTAATTATTATATATTTTTCTTAGTGTAATAATAATAGCTCTATCAATCACTCTAAAATTAACAAATAATACACACTCTCTGTTAGATCTACAAACTAAAGCCAAAGGATTACAAAACAGTCAAAACGAAATAAATCTACATCCAACAGATGATGAAAACTATTCTTTAATGAAACAAGAATACGCTTATTCTAACAAGTAATTCCTTTAACTTCATACTCTAGACTTATCAAACAATATTCACCGTCAATAAGTCCAGGAACTGTTAGTGTAAATGTGGTGAGCCACCGCTTCACATCCGTCGGCCCGGCTTGGCGCCGCGAGGTCCAGCGCCAACCTTTCGAAACGCGTCGACCCGACCCGCCCCGCCCCCGCCCCGCCCCCGCCCCGCCCCACCGCCCGCCCCCCTCCGCCCGCCCCGTCTCAGCCCCCGCCCCGCCCACCGTGCCGGCCCGCCCCGCCCACGCCCCCGCGTCGTCACTCCTCTTGCTGCGCCTGCCCCGCCGGCCGCCCGCCGGCCGTCCAGTTCCAATCCGTCACTGCACGCGACGCGACGCCTCTTCCGCGCGCGCCGCAGGTAACAAGTGGCGCTCGCCCCGCCCTCCCCGCCCCGCAGCCATTTCCCCCTGCACGCAGTGGGCCGCGCCCACTTTTCATTTTGTTATTTTTACGTTTTATTTTACTTTGTATCGTTCATCTTCATTGCAAACTGTGAATGTAGTTAATAGGTTGAGCACAGAAGTTTCTGTGAGATACAAACCAAATTTACTACGCAGATGCAAATGAATTAATTTCAGTCTAATAAGTATTAACCTAACATCCCAGAATTAACAAATATATACGGCCAATTAGATCTAGGTACTGAAGCTACAACACTTGTTATTTTTACTTTATATAATTTTTGTTATCATTTATCATCGCCGCAAAGTGTGAATGTAGTTAACACGTAGAGTAATGCGGATTTCGTGAGACGCAAAACTATTCTACTGTGCACCTGCAAAAAATTTAACTTAGTCTAATAAGTACAGGTCTATTAACCTAACACTCTAGAATTCACAAACAATATACACTGTCAATTAAACGTACGAATTGAAGCTAGAACATATTTACTATTTTTATATTCTTTTATTTTTATCGTTTATTTTCATTACTGTTTGTGTCTAGTTAACACGTAGAGCAATGAGGATTTCGTGAGACGCAAACCTACTTTCCAGTACAGATGCAAATAAATTAACTGAACCACGTAGAGAAAAAAAATCTGCTGCGCATACTCCAAAATTCTGATTGACCGTCCTCAGTGCGAAATGCCAAAACCTCTCAGAGTCATTTCGCCAGGACGAAGATCGCAGAATGGCGACCGAAACGTTGGCACATGCGGCTAGGACGCGGCGTCTCCCGGACAGCCAAGTTGTTACAGACTTCGGGCGCGGATGCCTACGCGCATTCCTCTCAAATCAAATAGTTTATTGCACATGTATTACTCTCTATTTAGTTTGCTTGTTCACATTTTTGCTGGATTGCTTTTGCATATCCTAAGAATTGTTTCATATCCATTCACGTCTTCTCCTACAAAGATAAGAAGCTTCTTCATCGCTGGCATCAGATACTGTATTTCATCAATTTGTTTGCCCCTGACAGCCAAGTAGTTATGAATATTTAAAGTTTATTTATGAATTTAACTCCTCGTCTTCGCGGAGAGCCTAGGTAGCCAGGGTCATAAAAAACCCTCATCGCCCACTGTGCTCGTGTTTGCGCTCGCCGTCGTTACGTCAGAGCGCGCGCCACCGTCGCGACGCGACGCGACGCGTTGGGCGCCGAGGCCCATCCCTCATCTCGCGACAGGACGCCGCCGCCGCAGCGTGCGCCGATAGCTGGCGGCAGCGGCAAGGCCGGCGGATATGGGGTCACGCAGAACTGCGCAGGCGGCGCGCCAAAGAGAGAGACTTCAACGCGGAATGAGAGTGAAGAGAAGGAAGTGTTTCGGCCGGCCCCGTCCACGAGAAGAGCGGGAGAGCATCCTGCTGGATGGATGTGCAGTATCTGAGCAGGATGGGGTTGATAGCGAGGAGTTTTTAAGGTGGAAGTAGGGCGGGGTGAGAGAGGGCTAAGCGAGGAAGGGGAAAGTGTGGAAAGACTGGGAGGGTAAGGGCGGGGAAGGGAAATATAAAGAATGGCAGGACGGGTAATCGCAGGGCAGGGAAAGGCCGGGTGTAGAGTGGCAGGGCGGGGAATAGAGTGCGGGGAAGGGTAGGGCGAGGAAAGTCAGGGCGGAGAATGACAGTGCGGGGAATGGCAGTGCGGGGAATGGCAGTGCGTGGAATGTCAGTGCGGGGAATGGCAGTGCGGGGAATGGCAG